GGGATTTGCACCGTTTCCAGTCGTTCTCTGTAAGCACAATCTAGTGCTGTAAAAATGTCTTTTTTAGGTGGAGATCTGTCCCTGCCCTGATTACCTCCATATGTCCAGTCTCTAATGACGCCGCCCGCTTACAGCACAGTGTTGCTGAGCCTTTTCTCCCTTTAGCGGTTCCTTGTGTTAGCGTCAGAGTACACCCATGTAGTATGTCAGCATATTACTGCAACGCGTACTACCACGCGTGTTGTATTTATCCCCGCTTAAACCTTCACGTAGCGGTCAGTGGTTTTGTACTTGAACTACTTTTTTTTACATGTTGAAATACCACATCATGCACTTTAACTGCTGGGGGGAGAACATTTAGTTTGATTTCTACTTAAGAAATCTGCGCTGCCTACTGTACAGGGTCGGGAAGGTTGTCTTAGGACTTAAGAAAAACAGCTAGAAGATTATGAAAAGGGGAAAGTCGTTGGTGAGCCGCTCTCCTCCCCCCTTCAGCCCCCACTGGCACGATGCCCCACAAGAGTCTGCGGTGGTGTGGAGCAGCCTGACACGAAGGTGTGGATGTTTGTAGCCCCTCCCCCTGCAGCAACACCTCCAGGTTGTAAATAAGACTTAGTCAGCCCGGCCAGTTAAAGGATTTCTTGTAATATGGGGGCGGGGGGGGAAATAGCACTTTTCCTAGCTGCAAACTGTGCAGCCGTTGTGCTGACGGACGGGACACTGGCGGCTCAGTTACTGGATTCACCTTCGTTTTCACAGCGGCAGGCTGAGCTCATGCTGCAGATTCCCCCCTTTTAAAGCCGGCGCCATTATGGGGCCTTGAAAACATTCCGTTATTCCCTCGTTGAATAGAGGTTTAATTCCAAAATGTCACAGCCGTCCTTCTGGACAAAACGCTGCCTCTTCTAAGGCCATTATTGGAAGCTGAAGAAAGCAAAACATGTTGAGACTGTTGCTTTCAAATTAAGTTATTTGATTCATTCATCGAGGGGACCGAGTCATCGGACCGGTCAACACATTGAATCGCTTCCTGAGACGCTAATTGGGAAAAAGGTCTCCCAAATGGATGGATGAATGACACATAACGAGTATTGTGTGTGTGTGTGTGTGTGACATTCCTTACCTGCTATGTCATTCATATTGTCTGAATCAAATGTAGATGTAGAATCAAAGTAGCACCCAACAGGAAGAATTAAAATTTATTTAAACCACAATTGCTATTTTTTTTTAAATTCAATATGCAGCCTTTTCATCACTCCTTTCAACTTCACATCTCCCCACTTTGCCAGTTTGTACTCCTGAGACATGATGCGTTATGAGTAATTCAAGCGGACACCCTGATGAGCAGCGTCCCGGCCTCCTCAGAACGCCGCCGAATAACCTCTTGTGTGTCGTGAAAACGGAAAGTCATCCAGCAAATGGCACCAATCCCATAAACCCCACTTGACCCCGCCCCCCTGTGATAATTACACCCCAGAAAGAGGTGAGAGGCAAGCAGAGAATGTTGTGGCTGCAGGGCGCCCCGATTTACAACGGGCCGTGTGAGTAGAGCTCAGCTCTCCCTAACGTGTTGCAGCAGGGAGCATAATACGCCAATTAACCGTCCACCACCGTATTCCCAACTTTGGCTCTGCGTGCCTCGCAATGCCGAGTGCGTCTGGGGCCGAATATCATGCGCCGGGTTATGGAGATCGTTTGGACCTACTTGGATTTCTCTCTTTTTTTCTGTTTTGAAATAAAATCACGCCACTTTTCACCATCTCAAATTCCCTCTTTTCCGCTGGGATGGAATTAGTTTGTACGAACAGGCTGTGAGCGGGCGAACGATTTATCGCTCCATCGTTTACAAATGTCGGTGTGCGTGTGAACCTCTGGGTTTGGGCTCCAGTCGCAGACCACCAGGCTCCAATTAGTGGCCGACGTCGGCGAATGGTTGGTGACATGCGGGACCCCCAGGGCCTCCTCCTCGCCTCCCTAAGCCCCTTTTAGTGACGTCCCGAGTTCAGAAGGGTACCGAAATAGCCCCCGGGGGACTTTTATGACTTCACTTCGGAGCAGCATGTGTGTGTGTTGGTGGTGTTTATTATCGGAGCTGAGGTACTGTGTCTTATGGATGTGTTGGCTGGCTGGCGGACAGTGGGGGGGGCGGCGGGGGGGTGGGTCATAGGACAGGACCTCTCTCAGAGGAGGGGCTGGTAACCTCTGACCTCGGCGGTTAAGCCTGCGGGGCGCGAGGGGGGGGGGGGTTGTGTGTCACACTGGGGTCCGTCTGGTTCGGGGGCACATGATGGCAAGCAGAGGGGGCGGCGAGGTGTCTAATCTGGTTTTTGTCTGTGAGGCGTTTTGACCTCCCCCACCACCCCCACCTCCCCCGAGCAGCGTTTGAGAGGCAGGACAATGTCGGAGGGAAGTGACTTATTTTATGAGCCGTTTAAAAAGGGGATGGGGGTCTGCCGCCACAAAGGGGAGGCAGGGAGGCAGCGCAGAGCTGATGAATGCCACGACACACCGGCACATGTTTGTTTACAAGATGCTTGTTTTGACCACCATAAATGGACGTGTTGCTCTTGAACATTGCCCCCTCTCTGCGTCTTCTTACATCTGAAAGTGCTGGAGAAGCTGAAGGGGTGAGACGGAGCCCCCTCCCCTCCCCTCTTTTTTTTTTTTAAAGGCGCTCCTGAAGGCAACCCAGAGCCAGTTCAGTGGTCACACAGACTGGTGGAGAAATGACAGAGCGGGCCCTTTGTGAAATAGTGAGGCCGAATCACGTCCCCTTCTGTCCCACGTGGATTTGTTCGCCATCAGGCTGTTCACGTTAAGGCTTCGCCGGCCCGAGCCGGCCCGTTATCTTCTTCCTTCTCCCGCTGTTTTTTAGAAGTTGGCTGCCAACATGTTTTCACAAAGTATGCGTTAGCTGTGATTTTTCAGTTTTTGGAGACTTAATCCTTTGAGCTAACAATGTGACATGTGTGCAGACATTCCTGTGAAATATTGACCGTCTCTTTTTATTTGTGTACTTTGGTAACTAGGGCTATTTTCCGTGTGGATACAGCCCTTTGGATGGTGCGCTTGTGCTGTGGGCAAGCAGGGGGCCCCGTGGAGGAGAGACTGGATGGCTGTTTCACCTTAAAGTCCACTGTGTGTGTGTGTGTGTGTGTGTGTGTGTGTGTGTGTGTGTGTGTGTGTGCGTGTGCTGCTCCGTCTACCTCCAATCACGCTTGTACAAAGAGCCGTGTGTTGAGCAGTGTGTGAATGTTTGGGTTGGGCTGTGCGTGTGCATATAGGAGGGGAGTCGGGAAGTTAGTGCTTTACAGAAGCAAACGTGTTGCGCTATTCCGTTTCTCTGTGAGCCTCACGGATCAGCTGGCACCGGTCAGACATTAAGAGTGATATGAGACATGACTCAAACTAACAGTTTCTCCCTATCTATGTAAAGCCCTGCTTCTCTAATGGACGTTGAGGAGCCTTTCTGTTAAAACCACCAAAACCACCTCAAGAGGAACCAATCCGTAGGCCTCAGGTTGTTATGGCAACTTGTTAAACATGGCAGCCAGCAGTGAAAGTAACAGAAATGCAACGAGACTCAAACCAGAGGATCTGTAGTAACCGTAACCAAAGAAATGTAGTAATAAGAATTAATGGAAGAGCGCGCTGGAAAGGGGTAAGAGGCATTTTCCCAGTTATTAAAATGACCCGTTGAGTTGTCCGTGTTCAGCTCCCTCTAGCTTTGAGCAATATGCTCATACACAAGGGAACCTCGCGCAACACATTTCACCGCACCCACCGCGTGGAAAGTCCGCATGATCTCTTAAGGCTCAATTAGTCTGGGATAAACAGATGCTGTAAAACCTAATCGGCGATATTAAAGCCCAGTGCGTGTCTGACATGGAGCAGTAAGCCGGCCTGGAGCGAGCGAGCAGGAGCCGGTGGGGAAAACCAAACAGGCCCACTGGTTCCTGGATGCAGTCAAAAGGTCCCTGTGTTCTCCCGAATTCCAACAGCCATGTTTAAAACAAAACATTATTGCAGCTGCGACTTTGCATTCGTCCTCCCCCGACCCTTCTTTTTCTAATTGGATGAGAAACTCCCTTTTGACGAAGTTATATCAACGACGGTATTTAGATATATTTGCCGAGTAAAATCTCACTGTAGGTTTTGTTGAGTTTATTTGCCTCAGTCCAAGAATGCAGATGTGCTTGGGAACGTGTAAACACGAGCGTTTTGAGAACATTTGTCTGACTCCACTGAAGAAAAGCACTTCACATCCCTCCGCGTTGGCACGCTAGGGACACTTAAGCCGACAGCTTTACAAAGTTTCCAGCAGGTGGCTCTCTGTTTTTTTCCAATGCGTTTGTTTACAAAGCAAGCACCTATTTTAAAAAAAGAGACCGCATCACCAATTCCACTATGGATCCGGTGTCGGTCCGCGGTCGGGGGTCACATGGAAATGCTCCGTGATAAAACATTCCAGAAACCCTTTAGGAAACATTTACCTGCGTCAGTGTTCAAAAGGCTGGAGGCACCCTTCTTGCCACCAATGTTAGCAACACGCTAATCCCTCCTCTTAAAAGTCTTGTTTTCGGAAGACGCTGCAGAGCTGAGCTATCAATCAGGACGGCGAAGTGCCGGGATAAGAGCGAGGCTCCATAAAGTGGCCGGCTAAAGACTGCTCTGGGCTGAGTGTCCACTGTGCAGTTGAGGGGTTTTTCGCAGCCTAGGTGCATTTGATTTGGTGAGGGGTGAAGTTGTGCCTCAGAAGCGGAAGCGTTCCATCCCTCACAAAAGCAAGGAATGGGGTTAGTGATCGATGCGCTTTTGTGTTTGAAACGAGTAAACTGTCCTCTGAAGTCGGCTTAGTCAATTGATTAACTCTCACGCGTCAACAAAGCCGGCAACGATTCTCAGCGGGTCTGAGTCACTTTGTCCAACCAGATTGTTTCGTTCCAACTTGCATGGGCAGCTTCCTGTGTGTAACGCAGCGTCCCCCTCGTCTCTTCCAGGAGCCCCGTTGAAGGTGTGTCCGCAGGGTTTCTCCTGCTGCACGGTGGAGATGGAGGAGAAGCTGAGCCAGCAGAGCCACACGGAGATCAAAGCTCCCGTCTCCAAGCTCAGCACCAACCTGCAGTCCACCTTCAGACAGAGGCACGACCACTTTGACAGTAAGCAAACACACACACACACACACACACACACACACACCGGCCACTTTTCAGCATACTTTGTGTGTCCCACGCCGCGCCGCCAGCACTTGTCTTTTTGACGGACGCCCCCACCTGCCAGTGCGCCGCCCCGAGCGGAGACAGTCACAGGCGGAGACAGTCTGCCCGTCCACCTGTCCCCCAACCTCTCAGTGCCTCGTCTCATGAACCCCCTCATGCTACACCCCTCGCCTCTGTCTCCAGAGAAACGTGCACGCTTCCAGGCAGACCACACACACACACACACACACACACACACACACACACACACACACACACAATCTATGTGTGTGTGTGTGTGTGTGTGAGAAAGCCTGTATATATTGGGATCAGGTTTCCCATTCTGAGGCTGAGAGATCATGGGAACACAGAACCGTGCTGAGTCACCGAGGGAGGGGGGCAGCTTTGACTAGCCTGCGCCACCCGACCGTGTCACCGCTGGAGAAGAGGCAGAAGATCGACTGATAGACTTCCTGAGTTTCACGTTTCTCAATACAATGTCGCTTGTTCCGGATCTGCAAACCCGTGCAGGGTTTTCGATGCTTTGCTAGTTTGTGCACATGCAGAGACCTTCAGATCTTATGTGTCAGGGAAAGGGAGCGAGGGATAGTCCGTAACGAGGAGTGTGTATTGCAGCCAGATGTGAACAGGAATTTGACGTGTCGGAATGCAGTGGCTGCTGTAGACGTCCTGCCCCCCCCCAACCCCCAAACCCCTTTTCTCTGCCTCTCTCTCCTCCCTTCACGCGCGGTAACGCACCGCTCATCGGAGCGATCGCTTTAATGTTTCTGTGCTTGTTTTTTGACCTGACAGCCAACAGACCTGAACGCAAAGATCTTCAGAGGGCGATCATAAATATTCACGTTTTGGCCGCAGAAACTAGTGAACATAACAGGTTATTTGATTGCAAAACATTTACATTCAATCCATTGACAGAGAAATAACTCATCTTTACATTAAATTTGTCTTACACCGTTTAATACAATGTGATACAATTTAAAACGTTGTTCCCTCTAACAGAGTGCTGTCGTGCGTTTCATGTTTCTTCTGAGCTTTTGCATTTGGAGCAAAATGCAAAGCATATATCTGCACATTTAAAAAAGGAAGTACATTTTTTTTTTTTTTTTACATATCTATAAAAAACCTGCTCTGCTGTGAGACCTCATTATCATTTAACTGGTTAGCCCCGTTGTGTGTATATACGAGGCTTAAATACTGTCACTTTTAAAACAAGATATAACTTGACGTGTTGCATGACACAAACATTACAGCACGCAAAGCCTGAGTAGCTGTCGGGTCGGCCTTCGGACCAAGCTGACAGTGCCAGTGACAGTCGCCCCCCCCCCGGCTCCACGGTTCTAGCCCGCCTCTCTGGACTCTCCGGGTTGCCGACCCATTATTCACCGTTGTCGTGTCGAGACGCCCCCAAATGAGGCACTTTCCCGCCGGGTAAACTGGCACAGGAAGCTTCTCTTTGTGTCCACCGTTTCGGAGGAGGGCTGTCGGGCGCTTGCGCTGTGGTGCGCGTGTTAAACGCGTTGCTCCCACGCTAACACACTCAGGAAGTAACATTTGTGATTAGGCAGGCTGTCTCCATGCGCCCGGAGCTACGAGTCACGGCTAATTAAGACCAGGGCCAGAAATAGAGCTCCCCTCTCGAGACCCTCCTCGCTGTGTGTCTGTCCTACTGCACTGACCCCGTCCAGCGGAGCGAGCCTGTGTCTGGGATTTAAGCGCCTGGATTAAGGCCCCTTCTTCTCTCTGCGTGCACGCACACACACACACACACACACACAACAAGAGACATCCATTCGAAAGCTCTAGAGACCAACAGCAGGAGGGTCAGAATCCCGACCCACAAGAAAAGTGAGAAGCGCAGGGACTAATTGGCACAAATAGGATGCAATTACTGCCTGGGCTGGGATTGGGAGGAGCAGAGTTTATAGGGACGGGGGTGGGTGGCGCAGAGGGAGTGTGCGTGTGTGGGGGGGCTCCTTGTAGGAGGAAGTGGGAGGAGAATCGGTCAGCTCCTCTGTTCCCATGATGGATCGGGCCTACGGATCCTCTTATAATGTAGGGCCTCCTCTGCAACATGTGGCAATAATGACAGGGTGAGGGGGGCAAAGGGGAGGGAGACCAGGCAGGAGTCCTCCTTCCTTACAGTTCGTTACAGCGTGGTGTCTCTCTCTCTCTCTCTCTCTCTCTCTCTCCTGTGTAACCTTTCACCCAGATTTCCTCAGACCATTGGCGGAGCGAAAGGCAACATTTTTTAATGGAAAAATCATGAGGGAGTGTTCAGCTCCTCGGCCTGTTGGCAGATGGCTGCGTGTCATAAACTGTTTTTAATGACAATGCAAGATGCCTGTGTAATGCTGCTCATACTTCAGACTCCCAAAGAGGAGCCCCCACCATTACCAACCCTCCCCCATGGCCCCCACCCACACACCCACACACTCACCCCCCACAGGACGCGCTCCTTCTCTTACCAGAGGGTTTGTCCAAACTCATTAAAGGGCTTATCTGTTTAGCATATAGGCATTACCGCTCTAACAAACTGTAGAGAGGAAATAGAGAAGTTTGTCCTCCTCCTCCTCACCACTTGTCTCTTTTCACTGACTTTAAACTTGTGGTAACTATGACATTCCAGGGGTTGGGGTGGACCTTTTGTTTTAATCTTTGTCAATGGAGCGTGGACGTGTGTGTGTGGGGGGGGGGGCAATGATGGCGGGTGAAGTAAATGGAGGGGCTGCAGTGTTCCGGTATCCTTGGCAACACAGTGGGAATTTGGAGTTAAGGAAAATCCTCAACTTAACCCGCCCTCACACAGTGTGTGTGTGTGTGTGTTTGTGTGTGTGTGTGTGGGTGGGGGGGGGGGGGGATATATAATATATACTAGGGCTGTCATCAATAGATTTTTTTTTTTTTTTTTAAATAAACTAATTCCATTTGACCGGGGGCGGGGGTTGGGCACACGGGACACGTTTACATGTCAAAGCCAGGCAGAGGACGCCCAGAGGGACGGCAGCCGGACGGCCGTTTTGTGCACACGGACGGGTGAAAGGAGCCGAGTGCAACGCTAGACTGAAGGTGAAGCATTTTTCAGAGACTGAGGAATTCTCATTTTGTTCAGATTAAGAAAGTTTCTGGGGGGGGGAGGTGTCCGTGGGAGAGGGGGCCTGGATTATGGGGGGGTGGGGGTGATGGACATTCCTCAGGATGAAGTAGGTCATTGTTCCCTGTCTCTAGTGAAGAGAGCTCTGAAGGAACTGATGAAGTGAAAGCGGCGGAGGGAGGGAGATGGAGGGCTAGATGGGGGGTACAGGTCCATATATGGGAGTGGGGGGGTTTGTGGGGGGGGTTTGCATTATTCACTAATCCTATTGAAAATGCCTCTGAAGGACAGTCCAGGACAAGTCGGGAGAAAGGAGAGCGAATGGAATGTGACAACAGAGAAGCGCCATTGATGGTGGTCAGCTTGATGCGGAGAGACGCCGCCGCCCCTCCCTCCCTCCCTCCCTCAATGGAGAGACGGCCGGGCCCGAAGCGGCACCGCTCTCCCACCCGGAGCCGCTCCATCCGCCTGACACAGATGCTCCGGCTTCACCTTTCACCCCTCCTGCTTCACCCCTCTCAGCTCCTCATTATAACCCCCGCCCCCCCCCCACAACACATTCCTTTTGCCTTTCATCTTTTTGATTTTATGCTCAAGCTGTTTCTGTTGAGATGCGGAGAGTGTCGGGATGTGGGTACAGGTGAAGGCGGCTAAACATCACTGTGATCTGAAGCCGTGGCAGCATCGTCACGGTCACAGCTTCAGAAAGCAATGTACTGGAATAAAGTCTGGTGGCAGGAGCATTAACTTTAGAAAGGTTGTTTTTTGGCCGGCAACATCTATAATCTAGTTACTAACATACACTGTGGCCTTGCTGGAATCTGTATTTTGCAATAACAATCCCTTTTTGTTTCGTAATGAGATACCAAAGAAGCACTATGTGTGAAAATCCTGCCCAAACGAGGCCATTCTTGAGTCAAAGATCGATAGAAACGGTAGCCTCTGTAGCTGCCCCGAGGAACACGGACATGTTATCCATCATACAAATTGAATTCCCTTTGTTCTAGGGCTGGGCGCTATGGCCAGAGTCTCGTTGTGCCATGTTAACAACGTAAAACGGCCTCCGCGTTTAGTCATCGCACTAATCCACCTCCCTCCTTTTCTTCAACAGAGTTTTTCCGCGAGCTTTTGAAAAACGCACACGGTTCGCTGCACAACATGTTCGCGCGGACGTACGGGATGATGTACATGCGGAACTCTGAGCTGTTCGACAACTTCTTCAAGGCCCTGAAGCGGTACTACGTGTCCGGCAGCGCCGCCGTCAACCTGGACTCCATGCTGTCGGACTTCTGGGCCGACCTGCTGGAGAGGATGTTCGGGCTGGTCAACGTGCAGTACGAGTTCAGCCCCGCCTACATGGAGTGCGTCAGCCAGCACACGGAGCAGCTGCAGCCCTTCGGCGACGTGCCGCGCAAGCTGCGCATCCAGCTGACGCGGGCCTTCGTCGCCGCGCGCACCTTTGTGCGCGGCTTGACGCTTCTGCCGGAGGTGGTCAACAAAGTCTCTATGGTGAGTGAGCGAGTGTGCGTCCATCCCTCCCCCTCTGGGTGTCTTCCTTCCCTTAGTGTCTGATAACAAAAGCCACGTTGACTGTTCTGGTACGGCATGTTTTTCTTCCTCTGCAAGGGGGGGGGTGGGGGGGGGATTCATTACCGCTAATGTTTACACTGGCGTGTGGAGTTTGCTGTGATTTTGGGTTTCTGAGTATGAGCGTGGTGCCGCGGGGAAACGCTAACCGTGCGCTAACTGCCCCCTCCAGGTCAGCGCGTCCCCCAGCTGCGTGCGAGCGTCCATGAAGATGTTGTACTGTCCCTACTGGTCGGGCCAGGTGGCGCTGAAACCCTGCCAGAATTACTGCCTGAACGTGCTGCGCGGGTGTCTCGCCAACCAGGCCGACCTGGACGCCGAGTGGAACAACTTCCTCGGTAAGCGACCGTCCCGTGGGCCAAAGAGGCCGCCGCTCGCAGCCAAAATGGCTTCAGGTGTTTCATTTGGCAGCAAAGTATATTTTTTTAAACTCCCTGCTTCTAGCGTCTTTTAAAATGTCCGTCCCTAAACTACAATGCAACCCTTTAGAAACCAGTTTGACATGATGGGATCTGGGTAATTGGATGAAATATAAATGTGTATTTTGTGGGTTTATTGCACTTCTGTTAAGCAAAAACTAATTCAACAACGCAAACAGTGTTTACTGCAAAATGGTGAAAAGAGTAAAACGTGCACAAATCCCTCAGTCTTTTGCATCTTGTGTAAGTTAAGTGGGAGAGGGAGGAGTCATGCAACTTGTACATGACCCACAGGATGAATGCAGCTCCTGTGTTGTGTAAACACTGGAAAATCACTTTTATTCCACTGAGGGCGACGCAAACATCCGCCGTTCCCCTCGTTATATTAGTTCCACACAACTCGGCGATTTCCTGGTTTCTATTCCGCCGGCCGCTGACACGGCGACGCTCTCTCTGCCGCCTCCTCGGCGTGCAGCAGCTTCACGCGGTCACCGGTTGACCCTCTTGCTCTCGGTCATGTGCTGCCCTCTAGCGGCAGTTAAATTTGTAACATTGAGGTTCAAAATCTTCCCCTCAATGATTCCAGGTCTCGTTCTGTTTTTAATTGTCGTGGTTTGCAGATGCCATGCTGAGTCTGGCGGATCGGCTCGAAGGGCCCTTCAATTTTGAGTCCGTCGTGGAACCCATCGACGTGAAGATTTCCGAGGCCATCATGAACATGCAGGAGAACAGCATGCAAGTGTCGCAGAAGGTCAGTGTCGTTTCACAGCATTCTGAATAACGCGCAGCCAGCTCCGTTTCGTGAAGCTCACGCGACCCTTATTGACAGGTTTTCCAAGGATGCGGGCAGCCCAAACCAAGCGTGGGCCGATCGAAGCGCTCCATCAAAGATACTGGCTTCAACGGACGCTTCCGCCCTTACAGTCCCGATGCCCGACCCACCACCGCTGCCGGGACCAGTTTGGACCGACTGGTAAGGACGAGGAAACCTGGAGCTTAGTCGCACTGCTGCTGCTTCTTTCAGGCTTTGAGTGTGAGTTTTTTTTTTTTTTCTTGTTTCGTCTCCGCAGACGAACGACGTGAAGAAGAAGCTGAAAAATGCCAAAAAGTTCTGGTCCACGTTGCCAGAGACAGTTTGTGCCGGTGAGAGGATCGAACCTGGGGACGACTGCTGGAATGGAACCGCGAAAAGCAGGTAAGAAACACACACACACATACTCACATGCACACACACACACACACACACACACACACACACAATGCAGTCTACATTTGGCTGCATTTACAGTCCCCTACAATAATCCAACATCTTGGCTAACGTTGATTCTCACTTGACGTAGGTACGAGTCAGTCGTCATTGGCAACGGCCTGGCCAACCAGGTGTCCAACCCGGACGTGGACGTGGACATAACAAAGCCGAACATTGTGATTCGCAGTCAAATCGCAGCTTTGAAGGAAATGACGAGCTGGCTCAAAGCCGCACACAGTGGCAACGACATCTCCGTCGACAACGGTGGGGACGGGCGGCGCGTTCTCTTACAAGTTCATGCCGTAACATCCCAGCTGTGCACACCTGACCCCCCCCCCCTTCTGTTTGTTTTCTCCAGATGAGGATGGCAGCGGAGGGGAGGAGAGCGGCAGCGGCTGCGACTCTCCGTCCTGCGAGAGCGACCCGGACATCTACTTCTCCACGCCACCCAACCCCGGCAAACCGGCCATCGAGGAAAAGGTGAAGGGCATCAATCCATCAGATGGGGGGGTCGCCTCAAAGGGAAGCATGGCGCTGGCGCTCTGCGGTCTCGCCCTGGCCCTGCTCGCTCCACAAATGAGATAAAACCGGCTGGGCAAGAGGAGAACGACCGGGAATGACGGAGCGAAGGAGGAAACCGTCAGAGAGACTTTAATAAAGACTGCCTTCAGGACCTTGGACTGTCTGCCATTCGAGTGGAGGAGGGGGGGACTCTTAATATTACAATAACGTCTTTTAATTATTTGTGTGTGTTTTAAGGACATCAGTGAACAGCAATACACCCGAGAAATCCGCCTTTGTTTCCCCCCAGAAAAACCTTTACTCCTTTATGGCTCTTTTGGAGCTACACTAGGGTTCTACCTGCCACACAAACTTCATTCTATTGTCTTATTTTGGCAGTTTAAACACATAATACATTTTTGTGCCTTCGGCGGTCCAATATCTACATAGCTACCCAGATGTTTGGTTGAACAGTGAGTGCCTGTGGTGGGACGTATCTTTGTGTTTCTGAGGATGTTCTTTCTTTCCATTATTCAGAGACTGTTGCTATGAATGTTACACTGTGAATGTTTGTGTCCCCGCCTCTCTTCATTTGCATTCATCAGCCAATTAACTGTTGATATCAACTGGGCCTCAGTAGTTTGCTTCTCATCCTTCAGAAATCCACAGGGAGAAGTTACAGCACAGGTATTCATGTTTGACCTGGAGATGAATTTGTCCTTTCGAAGAGCCTTTGGGGTCCTCTGCAAGCCCAAAAGTGCATGTTGTATGTCTGCTATGAACATTATCACGACCTAACATTTTTTTTTTTTTTTTTACCAAAATCTATTTCAAATTGAACTTCCTCGGCTCACACAGTTCAATAGAAAAGGCCGTACTTCACGCATGCTCCCCCAGTCGGTGAAATCAATGGTGTAGAGTTGAAAGTGTCTAAGGTGAAAGTTAACCGACTCCCCGTGGCATTATTCGTAAAGAAGGCAGAGCTGACGAGTCCTCGATGGCCTGTTTTTGGTACTGTGACCTTGCTCGTTTGAGAAGAGAAGGCGGCGCCGCGAATGTTCATAAAGCGAGAACGGAGGAACAAAAGACAGTGCTTTGATCAAAGGAAATCAAGAAAAAAAGATTATTTTAATACAGGGTTTTATGTCAAGAAGGTGTTGTGTTTAGCTGTTTTGGTATGAAGATATATATTAGGTACTGCAGTGGGTCTGACTGCTAGTTTAGGTGGTGGAGGAAGAGGAAAAGGTGCACAGATTCAGGGGCATTTCCGGTCCGTGTGCGGTTCTCATGATGCCCCAGTTTTTTCCCCTCCCCATGATACACAGTTGTGCCTCTTCACCGGCCCACATCGGTATAAATGGACCATTCGATCTACCTTCATTCTTCTCATCACTTCAAGCTGTCGTGGAATGTTGAAGTGCTGCCAAAATGAAAGCAATGTCTGGTGCCTGATCGTTTTTAATTTTTTTTAATTTTTTACCGTGGTACATTATTAGCATTTTCTTATATCAAAGAACAAAAAATGTTGATTTGTATCTATAATGTACTCTTAATTCCCTGTTGGGTGTTTTGAGTACATCGTTACCAGCTGACGAGCACAACATACGGTTTTCTATATCTTGTGTTATAATGTTAATGTTATAACAGTTTCATTAGCTGGCCATTTCATTTCTAAAATGACGACGCATTGTGTAGCCTTTGTACAGTAACTTATGCATGTATTCTAACGTCCTTGTAAACATGCTTCCAGAACAACACAGGTGGTATAAGATACAGTATTCAAAGTGTTTCTGCACGCAAAACTTGGGGGGGGGGGGCAATTCATTTCTAACAGTAATCGATGAGATTTGAATGTGCATTTGAGAAAATTGAAATGGGTTTTCATGTTTCACACCTCTCTGCCGGGCTGAAAGCATTTGGCTTCGGGTGGGACGGTCTCTACTGGACCGCAGCCTCTGGGCTTCTTGCTTGGCTTTTGAAATTGACAGGTTGATTGTAAGCTTCCATGACTTTTTCCTCCAGAAAAAGTGATGTGACCAACAAAAGGACTTCCATTTATACTGATGTCAACAATGACATCAGTGTTAACAATCTGAATGTGGAGGAACCACCGAGCGACCCGCAGGAAATACGGAGGCGTTTATTTCAAACAGCGAGGCGGCGGCGACGCTGCAGCAGCTCCGTGGTGGGTTTCCCTCCGTTGGGGACCGCCTCGGTTCTCCATGACGTTTGGGTTCCTCCGACATTTCTACCAGGGCTGGTGCATGTGTTCAGAAATGCGTTGAGTGTGAAGAAACCCACGTTTCTGAGAGTGGAAGGAAATGTTTTTGGATGATGGTGATAAATGTCTGTGCTTGCGGGCCGGGGCAGCGACGTCCTCCAGCTGGCAGGGAGTCGGTCCAGCTGCTGGATGGATGGATGGATGTTCATCCACAGAGCGACTTCGGTTGGAGTCGTACCGGTGTTGGAAACCCTTCCATCAGCCTTTGGCCCACAATCACAGGAAATGACTCGTTTTCTGAAGAGAGACTGGGAAGAATTTAAAAGAAAAGTGTAAATACAGAGCAGCCGGTTTAGATGGCTCTAAAAGAGGCCGTAACAGTACATCAGATTTTTACCTGTTCAGAGTATCTCCTAAATGTTAAACAAGATGAGATAGATGTTAAATGTATATTAAACAACATTTCTTAGTCTTGTTGAAATAAAGACTGCCAATATTTAAACGATTGTGCTTGGTTTCATTTTATCATCGCTCTTGATTGACCGGTCCCCAAAAGTCCACAGTTTTCACCAGATTAATTTTGACAGTGGAATCTAAATAAGGTCATTAAAAAACATTGCTTTCTATTTTTGCATTTGAGAAACATAATAACCCTTCAAAAACTATTGAATTGGCACTTTGTTTGTGATCCAGGTGTAGATTCTTGCACGCGCGAGGTACATTTGTAAACATGTTAACTCACCCTCCATACTTCATTATTCTGCTTGTTATAGGCCATGTTACCCGTTGCACCATTCTCATTCAACCTTCATTGCAAGGTTAAACTATATATATTATATATATATATATATATTATAGTTCAGGTTCCTTTGTTATTTTTTTCTGTTGTGCAATTAATAGAGCAATTGGTTCCTATTCCGTTATCTGAATGTCACTTTAAACATTGTATGTTTAGCATGGATGAGGTTGCTAGTGTTTTGCAAATGACAACCAAGACAAAGGTTGTGTCTGAGATATTGTTTCTGGACATTTAGGAGTTTTAATGATTTATGGAGATGCCTGTGATCTACCAAGAAACGTGGCTTTAAGTGATTCTGATTTGTTTTCAACTCACTATCTCTAAATGTAAGTGTGTTTTGCTCAAGCGAAGAAATTAATTCACATCATGAAACGACGACGTGGCACCAGAAAGGCTTCATTCACCTTAAGAAATTTGAGCTGGTATTCACTACCAAAAAGGTTTTTTTGAGGGGGTTTTTCTGTACATACTTTCAGGTTATTATTTGATTGATATAACATGAGATTTGTCCATTTAAGTGCACGAGGAGAATGTCGGCAAAGAAAATATAGCAGAATAATTTGGGTCTCTTAGCTTAAATAAGTATTAATGCAGAGGAGTTGCAATGGGGAACTTCCACCTCAGTTTATGGTTTAGACATTTTTTTTTTTCTGATTTTTTTTTGAATTTCTCAACTGATCATCTGTATTTCCACATGACATTTTACCTGAAAAACAGCGACTCGTGCTTTTACGAGGCTACTCGTTTTATTTGCTTACACATTTAGCTCGGTATCAAGTTACTTACTGTCTGGGGAAAAAAAACGTTCGCTTGGCTGAGGGGGGGTTACGCACACACTTATAATAATAATAAATTGAAAATAAATAAGACCCAACAAGAGACCGATCCATTGATTGGGTTCATAAAAGGAGAACATATATTTTCTGCTGTATATTGGAGGGCAGATTGGTATTTTCTCAATATTTGGGGGGGGGGACACCGTGTGACAGGAGCTGAGTACTTCGGTCTTTTTTCCACTAACATTTGTGTCCCACTGAAACCTGTCCGGCGGAAGTTGTTATCACGGCCTGACAAAAGAAATGGCGAGCGGTATCGGCAGTGAGTAATATTTCTCCAGTCTTTATCAATTTTTTGTTTTACCAATTTCATAACAAATATATCAGTAAACAAACTCCGTACATTGCAGTTCCTTTCATTTGGTTGAAGCAAGTAGAGTCGTTGCATGAAAAAAGCGTTACACCGTGTAACGTTAGCGGTGTGTGTCCCGTGAATGTGTTCCCCCGTAATCAACACGGCTAAGCTAACATCGACGTTACTATTTCAAATCCAAGCAAATGCACGTCAATGTCTGTAGAACCACAACTAAATATAACTACACGTAACGTTAGATGTTGAATTTGCGCCCTCGTAGAAAAGCAAAGTGCTACTGTATTAAAATCGTCCTCTAAACTCGATGCAAATTGGTATAAACAACGTAGCTAGCGGTAGCTACACGGCTAACTTTGAGCAACAAATAAAAAACCGCAAGATACGTAAACGTCGCCGCACCATGTAGCTGTCATACGTTTTGTGTTAACAAATCAAAGACCGTATGGTACCTAATTAACTTACTTTGCAGAGGGGGACAGACTGTCATTTAACGAGTTACTGGCGTGTGCGACCGTCAACATGTTCCCCGCAATAAAACCAAACAACACACGATGATCTGAGATGACCGCCTGTTAACGTAGAAACTGCCGTGAAAACCAGCTTGATAAACCCTGACAGACCAACATGCGCTACGGGCTCACTGTTTGCTTAGCTAGTAACAAAGCTACCCACAATAAATGCCTGGAAGTGTCACGACTTAACTGTTTATTTGTGCTTTTCTACGCAGAACACAAGATCCAGAATGTGGGACCAACAGAGCCCTGGTCCGTCAGGGAGAAACTGTGCCTGGCCTCCTCTGTTATGAGGAGTGGCGACCAAAACTGGTAAGAAAATATCCTCCAATCCCCCCCCCCCAATAGATTTAGCTTCTACTTTACTCATTCACAAAGGGGGCAAAACCCTCAGAAAACAGGTGTGTGTCTCTGGGTTGTAACAGTGAAACATCTGGATTGAGCTGTACACATGTTTTAATGTGAAAGAAAATCACCCCAGAGGTTACGAGTCTATGAAAAGAAATTGCAACAGTGGTCATTAAGATGTCTACACACCAGTGTTAATTTTGTTGACGAAAACTATGATGAAAATCTTTCGTTAACAAACCTTTTTCCACAACTAAGACGAGACCAAGACGTGACAAAAACGATCTTAAAAACTATGACTAAATCTATTCTAACTTTCGTTAACGAGACGAGACGAACATGTTGGTGGTTGACGAAGTCACGATACTTTTTCCCCCTAAATTCGCACGCAGCTGACAGACAACAGACAGGCAAAGTACGGCGGATATTAACGTGTCATGATGACGTCATCCACGAACCCAACACGCTCGCATCGGCACAGCGGTGGTTCTTGTGCACCGACTACGGACCGCGACGACTATTTTTCGGCGAGTTTGAATGTGGCTTCCTTAGTTTAGCTCAGCTGTCTCGGTTTAGCTGACTGTTAGCGGGCTGAAGCCGCGCTGCTTCACAGAAACATGAAGACCCGTTTAACAGACTGTCGGACGTTTCTGCTCTGTTCTCTGACGGCGGCAGGCAGCGTTTCCTCGGCTGGATAAGACGCTCTGTTACAAACACGTCTAACGTAATAAACTCATTGCAGGTTCTGAAGCCTCACGCACTTCAACTGTAGTTCACACGCCACATCGTGAGAAGACGGTGTTAAACCGCCTCGGCCACCGTACGTTCGTTACTAAGCAACATAGAGGCGCCACACACGTGACAGGTGGAGGCTTTTGATAGAACTGCGCAATGCAGGTGAAGGATGTGGCGGCACAGAGCAGGTGGAGGAAAACCCACAGGACACAAGAGAGAAGAACTGGTCATGAAACCAACAAAGAGACAAAGAGAAAAAAAAGACAGTTGAATGAAAAGTGGGGTTCAGTTTAGAATGGCTGGTTTATGATGCAGCCAAGAAAATAATGTATTGCACAGATTGTAGGACGTTAAGGTCTCTTTTGTTGGGACAGTGGAAACAATAAAGGACCATGAAGTTTCAAAAGCATTGCAAGTAAACAGACAAAGACAACAAAGTGTTGCGTTTAGATCCCTGGTCCTCATGAAGTTGTTACACATTTGCCAATTTGTTAAATTGCCATGCAAATAAATGCTTTTGCTATTCTTTCCTTTATCCTTTCATGTAATGATTTTTCACATGTCATTTATATTCGCTCACACAAACACTTCAACCATTTGTTCTTGGTCCGGCTCCTGCGTCACACTTTACAACCCACTGTGGCCGCGAGTCAAAAAGTTTGCCGACCGCTGCTATAGACCTAGGAGGGACATCTGATGGACAACCAAGTACTGCAAGCTAGACTATTATGCCGTTGTAGACACAACACAGGGGGTCCCTGGGCCTGAGAAGGGAAGAAAGGGAGTTTAATATGGTTATTAAATGTGACTAAAACTAATTAATTTTAGTGTAGTTTTCGTCGACTAAAACTAAGAAGGATTAAAATGACTAAATGTGACTAAAACTAATATGCATTTTTCGTCTAAAGACTAAGACTAAGACTAAATCAAAAATAGCTGCCAAAATTAACACTGCTACACACGTGGCTTTACTTCACATAAGAGGCTTTAAAAGGAGCATATCGATTCCATACATTACTGGTTGTGTCCATATTAAGACGTGGGGCAAAAATACTAAGTGTCTTGTTAAATCTGCTATTCTGAAGTCTCGCCACGAGGGTCAGACTTTAGTAACTCCTGTGGTCTCTCATGCACTGGTGGGTCACTGCGTTGACTACTAATAAGCAGGGTCAATCTCCACTTATGTATTTAAAAAGAAAAACAAACTATAAACTGCGAGGATGATATGAACAGGACTTTTTAGTTTTACTGTACCCTGGATTTCACTTTTATTGGTTTGCAATTTGAAAGCAGTTCTTTAGTTCCGTCAGCAATTTATTTCTCAACCGTTTTCTCAACATGTGTGTTTATTCGGAGGACTTTCTCTGTCTTCCAGGGTGTCTGTGAGTAGAGCCATCAAGCCCTTCTCGGAGCCCGGCCGTCCAGCGGACTGGTTCTCACAGAAGGTAAGAAATCTACAAAACTACAAATCATTTCCCCCCTTTTTGTCTTTCGAGCAGATGCTATGCAGTTGTGCTGTCGCCAACATCTGTCTCAGTAAAACAAGCTTTGTCTCTGTTTCTCAGCACTGTGCCTCACAATACTCCGAGCTGCTGGAGGCCACAGAAGCACCCAAGTCAGTATTGTAGTATAGACATGTCCAAACACCTACATGCAGATTTAGAATCATTTGCCATCACTGTTAGTGGACAAGGTGAAATATTTTGTAGTTGACTTAAGAGTGCTTTTGATCTCCTACACTCTAGGCGTAAGCGGGGTGAGAAAGGTGAGGTGGTCGAAACCATTGAAGACGTCATTGTGCGTAGGCTGACCACAGAGAGGATAGAGGAACTCAAAAAACTACTGCGAGACACACAGGAGCAGTACAGGTACATACACACTTAGAGTAGAATCATTTAGGATACATTTGGTAGCGAGACGTGGTCTTTAACCCTTCTGTGCGTTCTGTCCTGGCAGGAAGTTGAAGAAAGAGGTGGATCTGATACAGACGGGTCACATGGACTCCCAGCTGAAGGAGCTGTGGACGGAGATCACACTGTGAGACCCTCACCTGTTCTTCTGTCGGATTAAAACTCCACAATTGGACAAAAAAAAAAAGTAGTGTCCATCACAGATGCCCCATTCTGTTAATCCTATAATGCAGAGCACAAATGGCTGCGGTGAGTCAGCAGTCTTTTAGCGCTCACAGTAAAGTGATGAGCGTCTTGTTTTATTGGCGGGGGGTATTTGGTCAGTGAGTAACGACCCTGGAGAAGTCCAACACCAACCCAGCGGTCATCACTATAAAGCAGGTGGGGGGGGGGCAATCCAGTCACAGCTTCCCACCCACAATCCCCCCGTCTACCCGCTTCTCAGACGGTTCAACTATGTTTATCCAACCTGCAGAAAGAAGAAGCAGGCCGAGGAGGAAGCCGAACAGAAGAGGAAAGCCACAGAAACCGCGTTCCACGGTAGGTTCAGCCTGCATCAGGAAATTAAATTATCTCCGATCCTGTGAGTATTTTTTCTAGAGAACTTCTCAGTTGTCGCTGTGGTTGGTGTGGCCACACACTCCCCTCACATGACCCACCGCGCTGCAAAACACAGTATCCCGTGTCTTTAATTTTGTTAAATATTTGATAAACTTCAAGGTAATCGCAGTAGGCTTTTATGACATTGTTTCACACACGTTGGTGTTTTTGCGTTTGTTTTTCTCATATTCATTTAAACAGAAACCAATGATTCATTCCCTCCTCTGCTGCGTCCATCACAGCTCGCCAGGCCATGAAAAACACACCCAAGCGTCACCCCAGTGTAACCGTACGTTCTCCGCTGGGTGCCAGCCCCCCCAGCGTGGACCCTCCGGCGGAGTCCTTGGTCGCCGCGACGCCCATGGATACTGGAGGTGCTGCCTCCGATGACACCCCCACCACCACCACTACCTCCACCACCATGACTACACCCACCACCCACTCGGTTGTAAGAACATCCTCTAATAGAGTAGTGTTTGACTTATGTGGTCATGTAGCAGTGGTGAGATACAACAGGAATACTGCCAATACACAGTAAAAAAAACTTATGTTGTAGACAATTTTCTTTATCCAGCTGAAACATTTTCACCGTTTTTAATTCACTATACTGAAATATGAAGGCAATCGAACCTCAGTCGACACACTGAAGTTCCATTGGCGCTGCACTCTAATGGACGCAGAGGCTTTGCTTACATCAGAAGTCCTTCATGTGTTCTTCCTCTTCAGTGATGTCCTGAGGTGGTTCTGTCTCTAATCGGTTTTGGGTTTTTAGCACTGCCTGCTCCTCCTAGAAGGAGATGGTTGAGATACTTCAGCTCCCGGCGTCAGCGGGTCTCATTGATTCTCTGCTGCCTCCCCCAGGCCCAGGGGATCGCAGTCTTCCTGCCAGCGCTGGATGCTCCAGGCCCTGGGCCCAAAGATGGAGGCCCAGCCCCTCAAATAGATGATTCGCCACAGAAGAGGCTCTTAACCCAGAAGTCCACGCCGCCGCCCTCCCCTCTCCTGTCGGAACTGCTGAAGAAGGGCAACCTCATCTCGGCCAGCCCCCGCCTGGTAAGAGCCGGATTAGATCACAGTATCTAAAACAACAAGAATGCCAGGAATGATAAATGATGTGACCTCATACAAAGCAATGGGCAAATGCCTAAAAGACCTGAATTAAAAAAACTATTTCTAAAGCCAATTAGGCAGCTTTTAAAGACTTTGGATACGCCAGCGTATATCTTTACTGTATAATTGTATACAGAATAGTGACTTTAAAGACAGATGCGACTGCAATATTCAGATTTAATGTCAAGGGATATGTAACCCCCCTCCCACACTTTGGGTATTAAGAGTCCTATCAATGCTGTCTTAACACCCTTTACACTTATGTGTTATTAATTGATGTCAGGTCGGGGAGGGAGACACTGTTGGAAGCCTCACCAATGGAGTTCAGACAGCCACTGCAGCCACTGCCTTACCACTGGGCCACGCAGTCATCTGCGGTAAGTACAGCTGCTCCTGCCGCCTGTGCATGCGTCACACAAATGAGACCGAGAATGTTGTCCTGCACTGTTCATGGTGTACTAAAGATTAAGCCAGTGGGCTCTGGCCTAATAATGACTTTTAACCTTGAAGGGTTTCATTGTGTTCTCCTTTACTCGTGTGCGTGTGTGTGTGTGTGTGTGTGTGTGTGTGTGTGTGTGTGTGTGTGTGTGTGTGTGTGTGTGTGTGTGTGTGTGTGTGAGCAGAGAGTGAAGCTGCAGTGAAGGCAGAGCTCAGTGAGGAGGCGGGGTTAGTAGAAGAGGACCTTGTGGCAGTGTCCTACATGGGAGATGAGTTGGACCTGGCGACAGTGGGGGACATCATTGCCATCATAGAGGAGAAGGTATTTTTTTAAATTACAAGTCTATACGGCAGTCAGTATCACTCGCCACTAAAGAGGAAGAATGGTTGCCTTTTTAAGTCCTGGTAATTGGGGAGTATTTAAGTCTGAAGTGACTGTTGAAATACGATATAGTAGACTCCTAATAGACAGTAATCCACAGTAATCATTACGGCACCACTATGTACAGGTGTGATGTGATACCTGCAGCAGTAAAACACACTTAAGCACCAGACTCTTAATGACTACTCCTTAGTTGATAACCTCTGGAGTGTTTTAATGCTTGTTTACTCTCAATCAATATTAATTTGTGTACCGATCAATACTGATAGCAAAAAATAAAATATTCAAATAAAAAGGTGCATAGTTATGACTATGTATTACAAAAGAAAATGATGAATCAATCCTATTGGCTGTGTCCAGTTCAAGATGTTCTGCCCTGCCCCTCCAGGTCGACGACTCTGTTGAGGCCTTGGATGCAGCGGCGGTGGAAGCAGCTCTCTCCCTGTGCGAAGAGGCCGTCTCAGAAGGACACACCCTCCCCGGCCCCTGGGAGACCCAGGAGCTGAAGGCTTCGGACCCAGAACCCGCGCTGCAAGACTCCGACCACAGTCAGGAGCCTCAGGATGAGGTCGCCGTGTCCGCCCTGATCCCTGCAGCCGTAGAGACCCAGCAGCAAGCGGAAACCAAAGGAGAACATCTCAAGGGAAACTGTGATGGACCTGAAGTAACAGGAAGCGATGTCACCTCTCCGGTCGCGTCGGACGATGGTGCAACAGGAAGTGAGGTCACGGAGGAGGGGCCGGCAGGGAAGGAGGCCGCTGAGGCGACGGTTAAGATTGAGGGGGAGGAGTGGAGCCAGCCGGAGCCCAACCCGCCGTGCCTCGGTAGGGGGCCTCACCTCACGCGCAGCCACGAATGATGCTGACTGCCTTTCTGTTTCACTAACATGCGTCTCATGTCTGTCCCACAGACTCTGAGGACAGCTCTGTGTCCGGGAAAGAGTCCAAGGTGACACCTTTTACGCCCACACACACACAGACACACACACAACCTGTCAAACAGTCTTTTTGCTAAATTGGTGTGTGTGTTCTTGAACACAGGAGGTGAAGGAGGAGGAGGCTGGTAGCGAAGGCTACCCGGAAGAAGGGCTAGAGCTGAAGGAGGAGTGTGGGGAGGGGGAGGGGCCCTATCTGTCCGAGGTGGAGCGGGCCGCCAGCGAGAGTGAAGACGGCTACGGGCCGCCCTCGCAGCGCTACACAGCGGACTCCTTGGCCAGCAGCCCGGCCTCGTCCTCCCAGCTGTAGGTGTCACGGTTGCAGAGTGCGATGATGAAGTGGCTTGTTGTGAATCCAGATAAGCTCTGCTGTGGCTTTAGAACTAGATAAAGCTTGGCTTGCATTTGCGCAATGCCCTCTGAATCACATCATTCCATTTCGCCGAGCCACGCAGTCTTTGGCTGCTGACACACGAGGTTCTAACGGCTTGTGCTTTTGTCTCCACCTGCCTCTCGGCCCCCGGGGATTTCCCCGACCCTCTCTTCCCTCTCAGGTCTACGTGCGGTGAGGACCAGGAGGCCGTGCAGGCCCAGAAGATCTGGAAGAAAGCCATCATGCTGGTGTGGAGAGCTGCAGCCAACCACAGGTGGAGCCTCTTGGGAAGCCTCGGCCTCAGCAATGATTCACGTTGTTGGCCACAGTGCTTTAGCACACGCGTTTTCACGGTCGTCACACGCACATCTGGATTTTTGTTCACACAAATAGCAAATCCTCCAGATTTCAATAATACTTCAATACCCTGTTTTCCTTCCTTATTATTCACTCAGCATCACTCTTCTCTTCTATGCATTCTATCATTTCTATCTTACGAGATCTCTTCCATCCCCCAATTTTTGAGAATATATCAAGAAAATTCATTTTCTGGACCAAAAGCAATCCCCCAAAGTTAAAGGGAAGGTATTTTCCTGTTTCTCTCAGGTATGCCAGCGTCTTCCTGCAGCCTGTGTCAGATGACATTGCGCCTGGTTACCATAGCATCGTACACAGGTAAGCGCACGCGCAAACTCGCTGTCGTTTCTCCATCAACCCGCCACTCGCTCGCCCTTGTTCGACCACCGTCACCAATCAACAATCTCCCCTTACTCCTGCTCCAGACCCATGGACCTGTCGGCCATTAAGAAGAACATCGAGTCCGGCGTGATCCGCACCACGGCCGAGTTCCAGCGCGACATCATGCTGATGTTCCAGAACGCCGTCATGTACAACTCGTCGGACCACGACGTGTACCACATGGCGCTAGAGATGCAACGCGACGTCCTGGAGCACGTGCAGCAGTTCCTGGCCACCCAGCTCATCATGCAGACCTCGGAGAGCGCCATCTCCGCCAAGAGCCTGCGCGGAAGGGAGGGAAACCGTAAGCCAGGAGAGGCGGCTGAGAAGGTGGGTTGGGCGACCTGTTGGGGGACAAATTAGGATTCCCTTGAAAGTCTGGCAAAGCGTCACAATATCTAAAGTGAGCCGGGAAGACATTTTGAAATGATGTGGGAACTATACCACGATACGCTGTGCTTGTTGTATTCAGGTTTCTATTGAAACCCAGTGTAACACATTTGTCTCCTATTCTGAAGAAGTTGTTGGTTCTTCAGCCCAGCGAGTGGATCCATTTGACTGGGAATAATGTCTCAGGGAACGTTCTCCAGCCCCTGTATGGAAATGTATCCCCCTGAACAGTATATCTGAATACCTCGCTCTGTGGGCGGAATCCACTAGTAGCTCCACACTTAACCCAGAGCAATGGAAAGCACCTGTGTGCGTCTAATTGTTCTTTTTTGCAGGTGACGAAAGGTCAGAGACGGTACTGTTATTTGTAAAGCAGTTCAAAAGATACAAAGCTTCCCATTTTTTATAGTTATACAGGCTTTATTTCTGAAATATGTATTATTGTCATCCTTAGAATTTGATGGCACTCTATTAGTTTAGGCTGATGTCATGTCAAGTGCCTAAAGGGATTAATTTACAGTGTGAAAATGTTAACATCCTACAACAAAGATCCTGTTTACAGATGGTTTGCTCAAAGGAATGAATGAATAGATGTGTGACACAGACCCTGTTAATAAACACATACATGCTGCCGTAGCTGTGGACTCCATTTGTTGTATTGACCAACAGTCAGTGTGGTTACTTTTTTCTTTTTTCTTTCTTTTAATCTTTTAATGTGTCAATAATACAGCGTGCCAGACCTGAACATGTCTTTATGAATTGATGTCCTTTGGAAGATTAGAAAGGACTAAGCGCATTGTTATGGAACAGATGCGAGGCTTTGGATTGACTGGTCTGTTTAGTGTCTCTTATCCTGCTGTTTCATTGAGAGATTATATACAGTGTGGATCACCACGGATGAAAGCATGTGTGTGTTCTTCCATCAGTATGGGCCAATTTACTCATGTGAATAAAACTAACTTGAACTGCTTACAATTCTAGGAGAAACCGTTTTTTGCTCTCTTTTGATATCACATTGAACCATATGCCTCTTATATATAAAGGTAAAGGACTGTGTGCTTAGAAGGTCATCTGGTTCCGGCTCCTCCGAGGTTTCTGCTACGACTGAATGGTGCCTCACTCACTGATTGGTTAACGTGTCCCATGCGGGTCAGCTGACCCTTGGCGCTGATTGCCAGTGTGGTGACGCTGCTGAGTACGCAGGGGGACACTTGAGACTCCACGTGGCCAACTCGTCTCCTCTCGCGTTGACTCCTTCTGATTCATGTCCCGCATGGTGGCTGCACCTCTACGCTCTGACTCCGTCCGCCTGCATCCGCCTGTCGTGTGTGTGCGCGTGCGTGCGTGTTCGTGTGTGTGTTCTTTTTTTACAAGGCTCCACCAGGAAATATCCTGACTAGTTGTTTGGCTTCCTGGAGCCACCTTTTTAGATCTTTAATTGACCCCACAGTATTATGAAACGACTTCTGTAGTTTACGGTTCTGACTGAATGGAAATGATGATGTCTTTCATAGCGGACATGATGGGAACTGGTACACAGCTAGTGAGTGGACTTAAGGACATGTTTGTGTGTACGGGAGTGTGCTCGCCTGCTTGTATTGGTGCCTGATTGTCTACTTCTGTGTATCTGTCTGTTTATATCAATCTCCCTTTTGACTATCTGCATATTGGAGCTGTGTGCGTGTGGTGTGTGTGTGTGTGTGCGCGTGTGTGCAGCGGCTGGAAGGACGCTCAACCCACTTTGTTGTCTTTGGCGCAGACTTTTATGAAACTTGCTTTCTCACGCACGTGTGTGTGTTTTCTCTCTTTCTCACTCCAATGTTTGTCCTACAGGACAGTGTCCCAATGGCCTCTCCTGCTTTCCTTCTCTCTCTCTTTGTAAGTATTCAGGTTCTCCCTCAGATTTCACCAGAACCAGGCCACGCTACGCACACTCTCGCCTCAAAGCAAAGAAACACACACACACACACACACGTTGTAACTCACCCTGTACACCTTTGTTTCTACTTTCTTCCCATCTCTTATTTCTTCAGTTCTATTTTTTTAGCTGCGAAAAAATCTGTGTTAATTAGTAATATTGTAACTGAACATTAATAATAATTCAACAGTTCCGGTTTGAAAGCTTTTGGTGACGCTTCAAAACCAATAGTTAATTTAACATTTGAACCTGAAAATGAAGGAAAGCACATTTTAATGAATACAATTTATTTTCCTTTGCAAGAGCATTAACCAAAGTCTCCCTGCGGATACATGGGCCCTTATAGGCAGGTATACCGGTATCAGTGTATAAATTGTTCTATAGACTTGCTAAACGAAGTCTGAGTTTATTTACAGTCACTTTCATGCAGTTCTGTCACCAGGAAGCACTGACACTCTGAGAACAACAGACGCTAATACAGAAATCAGTTCATGTGAACTGAAGACATCGTGACAAGGAACATTTTCACGGCCTTTTAAAAAGAAGATAGGGTTTTCTCTTTGGGTCAAACTCAATGCAAAACTTTGTTCCTCTAACAACTCTTTTCCTCTTTGTTGTTGAACGTACTTTAGTTGGTCATGTTGTGTTGGCAAGGTGAAAGACTGTTGGTCCAACCTCTAAGCTTAATTAGTAATCCAGAAGAAAAGGAACAACAAACAGACCGCCGTTACCCGGCAACGCTGCGCTATCAACGAGGCATCAGAAAGAATTAAAAGGCCTCTCTCTCCTCTGACAGTTCACACAGATCTCTGAAGACACTGTCCTTGTCACCCTCATAAACCTTTAAGTTCTGTTTTGATACCATCTCCTCACCCCCCCCCCCCCCCCCACACAGACACACACACACACACACAGAGGCGCCCTTAACCTTTCATCTGTGTTTTTCTGTTTACCTGTGATTGTCTGTGTGCATGTTGTCATTTCTTTTCTCTTTTTTTCTTCCTTTTCTTTTGGATCTTTGTGTTTTTTTCTGTGTTTCATTTGGAGAGGAAGCCTTTCAAGGTGGACTTTGCCGTGTTTTTGTTGTTGTGCAGAGCGCAGTCACATCCGGAGGCCTGAAATCGGCCTTCCCGTCACTCTGTCCCATTGACCTTCGACCTTTACGTGTGAATTTCCTTTTCGTCTCTCTCACTTTTTTCTCCCCGTCTGTCTCTGTGCTGCAGGACGGAGGCACTAGGGGTCGCCGTAGTGCCATGGAGGCTGACCTCAAAATGAAGAAATAAGAGACATTTCAGAGAGATGGAGGTGAATAGTAAATGGTCACTTTAGTTGGACTGTGCAGTCTTTGTGTGTATGTGTGTGTGCGCGCCTATTGATCTGTACTGTGGCGTGGACGAGTGCGTATGTGGACGCTCGTGTCAGTCAGCGTGTCTGAGAGCTGCACAGAGCTGCTTCTCCGGCGCTTCATATGGTTCACGTGCAGCGCCGGCGGGAACCGACGTCACGTACCATCTTCATCCGCGCCGTCAGCGATCCCTCTGCCCGAGATGATGGCGAAGAAGCGTGCGTGAGACAAAGGACATTTTCACCAGCAAAAGTTTGTTTGGGATCAAATGACAACGGCCAGGAGGAAATCTGCCCGTCAGATTTGATCATGTTGCATTGATGCTACTTGATGGACGATTCCCCTTTTAATGAAACGCACCGATCTGTGCATCAACATCTGCTTGCTTCTTCCAGTCAGCCGGTCACTGCATTTACCGGTGCTTTGGGGTGTTCATTTCAAATGCGTATATCATTGATTGTTTTGGTACGGAAGTGGCCAGTTTTCATTAAAGTAAAGTTGCATTTGAAAATGAAATACTTTTTAATTTTCTTTTTTTTAAATTCCAGAATACATGGAAGTCATTTAATGCATTTAGTTATTATACACGTAAGGCACAAATGCTGGAGTTTCCTTGAGTAGTTTTTATAAAATTATGACACGGTTCCTTTAGAAAATAATCGGGAGTATTAATTATCTTAACCTCCAACGCCACAGCGCTTTTGTTATGTTGTAGTGAAATGAATGGAAACCAATAGCTGCCTTTTGGTAGAAAGTCTGAAAACTAAACCCTATATTCCATGTAAAATAGTTGGGTGTTTCGTCGAGTGTGTTAATGGGCTGAAACGTAGGATGTGGAGTTTGTCGTTGCGTCGTGTAGCCAGTGTGTGCTATGCAGGTAGCATAAAAACCTGGTTGTAAATGTGTCATTGGAGTATGAAGACAAGTTTTGTACCTGTAGAGTTGTTTGGGTAGCTGATACATGTCTCATGTGCTGTTGTACATTTGTTGAATAAAGATTATTTGATCTAAATCCAAACAATTGAGTTGCACGGTTTGAAGTCTTGATCACGCTTTCATCTCATTCTTTTACCGCTAACATTCAGTGTTTTACGTTAAATGACACTTTTACCAGGCATAAATATTTTCCCCTGAATTGTATGCGAGTCAAGTATCTTGGTTGTATTTTATGTGTGAAACCGTAACCATAAGTACATCATGTATAGAAGTACACGTGAAATGCAAAAACGGGACCAAGCAATTGTGGTGTGAAAAATGTATTTTATAACAAAATATGAAAACAGCAAAATCCTGGAAGGAAGCTTATGTTTAGAGTCAGCCCTTTAAACATCCATCCATTCTGTGCAAAATAATGTATTCAACAGGTAAACAAGCTGTTGATCTAGTAAAGTCCAACACGAGTAACAAACAATCCAGTTATTCACATATAAAATACAACGGCTCACTAGTGCAGTTTCCCTGACAACGGTCGACAATACAGATTCTCCACAGGAGGTTTTCTGCAACAGGTTCTCAACGCCCTCTTAGTCAAAGTCGTGAATGACGGGGCTGGCTGAGGAGTAGAGCTTCCTCTTCACCAGCCGGTACTCCGGCCTCAGCTTCATCGCTTTGCTTGTGTCAAAGATGTGCCTGAGGGGGGGCCAGCCATCCTCCTGGTCTGCCTTGAAGATCAGCGACAGTTCGAATGTCGGGGTGACACTCGGGTCCAGGAAGATGTTCCCCGTGCACATCAGGCCCTCTTTGCCGTCCACGTAGACCTTGATGGAGGCGCCCCGCAGGCCGCACGGCTCACCGGCGGAGGAGCGCACCACGTCTCGGCCCACCCTGGCGGTCATCTGGCGAGGCAGCAGCAACATCTGGCAGCGGAGGGGGGACGCTTTGGCCTCGGTCAGACAGCGCTCGATGCGTCGGGTCACTTCTCGCTGCAGGAGCCGCTCTTCGTGCGCCATTCCGCCGTCTACGTTGGCAACTGTGGACACGTGACAGGTGGAGGAGTTAGAATATGTGCCTCAGTCAGAACGAGAAATGACGTCAGAGAGAAGTCCAGTGAACCTGAACAAAAACAAGAATCTGATCCTCAATACTAACACTTAATCGTTTTCAAAACCACACTAAAATAACTCCTCAGAAAGAAATGTCTTCATGAGCAAAGAGAAGTAGTTTGACCTGCATGAGTTACATCCATCGACTGTTACATCAGCCGATTGATTCACTCCCGCGGAATAATAAGTTACGAGTATGGTTACGGGTCTCTCGACTAATGTGTAACATTATGATCCGTCCTAAAGAAAACTAGATAAAGTTGTTTTGTTTAAACGTACAGAGCGAGTTGCTGTCCCTCTCGTCGCAGCTGTCCACGCTGCCCCGCCGGCCGCAGCTCGTCTCCCGGTCCGGGGACGTCAGCTGGAGGAAATACTTCCCGATCATCGCGGCGACGCTTCGCTCCTCCGACGGGACGGGCGACGAGTGTCCAAAGAACCGAGCGGAGGTGTCCGGCATCCCGGCGTCCTTCTACGAAGCTCCGGTGTCTCCTCCACGCGTACCGTCGGTGTCTCCTCCATGTATTGACTCGGGTGAGCTTTCCGGCACCGGGCGGGGAGCTCTTTATACCGCAGGTGGGGGCGTGTTGCGTCAGCCCCCCCCCCCCCCCCCGGTGACCCGCCCTCGAGTGAGCGGGGCCTGACTGGTGTTATCGAGAAGGTTCCCGAAATGGCTCACGCAACGTGTCTAGGCATTGCGTCTGAGATGTGCCGAATGACGTCATAAAAATCAGTCATATACATACATACATACATACATACCAACAAACATACATACATACATACATACATACCAACATACATACATACATACATACCAACATACCAAAAAAGTTAAACAAAATAATTGTATAGTATGTTGAATCGTAATTTAAAAGGCATAAAAGTCATATGGCCTCGAGGAAAATTGAGAAAAGTCATCGAATGGGCCCAAAAATACAGTACAGAATGTTGTAAACTCGTCGTATCGTATATCGACACAAGTGTTTCCCCTCAGTGGGGGGCTTTAGATTCAGAGATGTACAGTGTCGGATTGTTTTTTTCCTTCCTTTCCTTGACTACTGACAGTCGCACATTAGTCATTTATGATGCAACAGAGCCGTAATGAAGGCTGAATTCACCCAAATCCCTGACAGGCTGTGTTGTAATTTACATGAAGCTGAAGCAAAAGTTCAGCCGGGACAAAGCGCTTTGAAGTCCTGTTCATCCTCTCGCTGTGGTCAATCTATTATGCATCTATGCAGAGTGCGCTCCCCGACTCTATGCTGACGTTTGAATTAGTCAGCTTAAATATTCAGCATTGAGAATTACAGAGCTATTGCTCTATATACTTTCTATGGCGGAACGAATTCTCCTAGACAGGCTTCAGGAATACACAATCATCACCGACAATCAATTTGGTTTTAAAAATAAGCGCAGCACCAATTTATGTATAGTCTCTGTGTTTTCTGGATGCGTCAAAAGCTTTTGACAGAATTAATCATTCTAAATTGTTTATAAAACTACAAGAGCGAGAGGTGCCTCCATATCTAATAAGGAATTTTTCACTTCTGGTATTCAAACTGTTGTGTTCAAAAATGAAGAAACGCCAGACGGACAGAGGTCATCGCTGATCAAAAGGTTAAAATCAAATGTATTTAATAAAAGAGATGTGTTGTGGTAAAAAGAACATCTCAGCTGAGGAGCCGCTGGTCTCAGCGACCAACAGGCCCCAGGTCAGTCCTTTGACCCCCATAGTGCCCGTCTGTCGTCTCCACCAGCGAACTCTAGAACAATGGTTCCTACAGGTATTTATACCAATGCTTAAAGGTGTGAAAGTCAGTGTCCACTCCTCTGGGAGTGGTCTTCTGGTGAGTTCAATGTAACTCTGATTTCGATTGACCCTCAGTCAATACCAGTTGTTGTGCAAGTATTACATGCATGCATTCAGGTTGATTACATTACATCAAATACAATCATAACTGTACATTGGTATTATTCTATTACAGTTGCAGAATTACAGTGGTTTTACAATATTGTCATTACTTTATTGATTACAGTTTCAGAATCATGGCTGTATTCTGGTGTACACTATATGCATTTTTATTAATTTTATGAACCGGGTCGTATATTTGTTTCTAATATCCTACAAAACCAAACCATGTGCAGTAGATGGGGTAAGTGTGTATATCCACCCTTATAGCGACCAATTGCGTCTGACAAGTGTCGGGATCTCCGATCCCCCCGAGTTGGTTGATGAGAAGGATCAAGCACGTTGATCAATTAAAGTCAAAAAGTTAACATTTATTTAGAAGAGAAAAAGATTACATGAGCAATTCTCCGCAGATATCTGGCTCTAACTATTGCTTGCAAGCAGGAGGTCAAACACACCAGCACGTATCTCAGCGCTCGGTGTAATGGCGTCTCCGAGCAGTAAGAACGCTTTTATACACATGTGAAGGACATTCTCTGTGCCAGCTACGAGAAGCTGCAAAGCAGGTTGAGATAAGAACCCAGGTGAAGCTGAGGGTAGCACACACACACAAGATCCTCCTCAGTGGCCGGTGCAAATCATAATGGTTGCTGCAACCAAGGAGGATCAACAGCTAAATCCATTCTTTACAAAGCCAAGAGCTTTACTTGGTTCAAAAAGTAAGATACTTGTGTCATATAATCAGGAATGATGATGATGATGTGCAGCGCCAGTGTTGCAAACTGTATGCACAAGCCAGTATGCCTGCACGTAACTTCCTGCTGTGCACATGATGTTAAAACAGCTCTCTCTAGAGCCCACTGTACTTCACACAGCCCGCTTATGGTGCAGCTGCAGTAGAGCAAAGAAGAAAAAGCTCCATGTGGCATTTAATGATGCTTTTAGAATCCTGCTTAAGCTCCCAAGATGGAAAAGTGCAAGTCATATGTTTGTGGCTCGTGAAGTGCCCACATTTCAGGCTGTCTTGAAGAATTAAAAAATGTCCTAATTTAAATGTCAATTAAATGAATCTGTAAAATGTAATCATCAAGGCCTTAACTAAAGCGTACACAGAGTGATACAAGGTATTCTTGTCTGTGCAAACATTGGAACAAATGTCTGACCTTTATGCTTTCGCACTGCATTGCCTTTGTGTTTATCTTTTTATATGCTACAACTCGGGAAATAAAATATATATGCATATATATCCGTTGGGTGCGCATGTTAAATAAAACCAAACATTATTGAAGTGCTGTAATTTTCACCCCTTTACGCCCATTTTTTTTCTACCAGTCCGACAGAGCAGAAATCGGTTTTGGGGTCGACAGGTGGGAGAGCAGCGGTGTTTCCGGCCACACCTGCTGCCGTGTGCCGACCACCACCCACGTGTCTGTGTTAGCTTAGCTAGCATAGCTTAGCCGCACGCCTGTCTAAAAAAAACGAAACCGCGGTGTCCGTGTGGACTTGTTGTGTGGTTCCCTTTACTCCCGTCGGCAATGTAGTCTCAAAATAACTAGTTACGTTGAATGCACCAGGAGATGTCACGTGCCATGGGGCGTGGACGCGGCCTTCCTCACCTTTTTTCCGATGAGCACACCTGTTGGTTTGGAGAAACCGGCGGATCCTCAGCTGAGATGTTCACTTTTTAGCATAACTCAACTTTCTTTATTAAATTATTGATTAATAAAATAAAATTACTAAATTCTTTTGATTATAACTTTTCAACCCACAATATCCTTTGTTCATCCGGAGTTTCTTTATTTTTGAACACACCAGTTAATCCACCAGACGAGCAACAAGCTTTTCTTGCGTGGCTTGTACACGTGTGCATCTCCCGTCCCGCCCACCAGGTGGCGCGGTTTGACTGTGAACATCACAGCTGGTTGTCTGCTCTGAAGTATAACACTAAAATAATTACTTCACCATGACTTAAAGACCAACCCACTCGACGGACGTGAGAGCAGACACATGTTAACCTCTCCCGCCTGACTCACCTTCTGTTGAAATCCCCCTGCTGTGACATCACTTCTGATCAACCAATCAAGCGCAGATAGAATGCTGCCAGCAGAGACTTACCACAGAGGAGGAAGCGTCGTTCTGTGGAATGAAGGGGTACTTTGGCGTGAGTGCCGGTATGTGGTGACTACCTTGCCAATAGCCTGTGGGTTATCTGTCACTCGCTCACACAGGTCTGGTGTTATATTTAAACATAGAGAAAATCTGGCCTCTCCCTTTTTCACTAGAACGTCAGAATTTCCCTGGTTCCATGTTTGATGTCGTTTATGGCCAACTAAGGGAATAATCAGTCACTCTTAGAAGGTAAATTTGTACCAGCAATAATCTGTGTTATTCATCTATTGACATCAGTATGTCAGCTGATAGCAGCCTGTGATGTCGGGTTACTGGTGGAGAACAGGTCAGAGCGTTCTGTCACCACAGCCATGACTAAAGCTCACATGTCTGCAGCAGAGTGAGTTTCTTTTTTTCCCAAGTCCTTATCTAACTCGAAGGACCCAAACACCATTATTATGAGTGAAATTATTTACTGAATTGGTCTGGTTACTACTAACAGATTTGATGCTGCTGCTGCCTAAGATACAACTATAATGATAATGCTAATTTAAACAAAAGATCAAGATTTATGTATTTAAAAATATGGAACCTACGTAGTAATATTTCTAAGATATATGTCTGCATGTGTCAGCAGTGCTGGGACCACAGGGGAATGGCCCCCAGGAGGTGGGTCTGTGAAGCCGTTTGGCCAACTGCTGCTTAAAGATGGAAATGTGTGACATAAAATCCAGCCAATCGGCATCCTCAATGGGATTCAGCTACGGGCCGAAGTGGTTTAGCCCGTAGCTCGCGTGTCCTCGTCAGGGGGCGAGTGCAAGCAAAAGAACAAACCCACCTCAGTAACATCTCACCCCCAAGAGCCATTTGAGAGCCGAACTTTGGCGAAAAAACTCCCGGTAAAAGAGCTGAAGATCAACCAGAGTTCACAATGAGACAGCTGACTGGCGGTGAAAGAGAAGCCATGCAAAGCTTCCGTACTGAATTAGCTGTGAGGGTGACAAAAATAAGACTGTCAAAGTGTTATTTACTGCTTTTTTGTGTTGGAATACATGTTACATATTTAACTGCAGTGTAGTAATGTATTTACTGAACATTTAATTGTCTCGCATAAAATCATTCTTGGATGTTTTGGGAAATGAATCGGATGCCCCAACCTGCAAAATGTTCCACTCGCTGCCACGGAACAAAACGTGCTCATATCACACATGATTACATGTGATGATATTACACTAGTCTGCTGGAAGGTGACACAAAATGGAGAGAGCGCATCTCACAAACAGGGTTGTTTGTTTTTTGTTGTTTCTGAATGAGAAATTACTCATATGTCGTTGACATATTTATTGACCTTATCATCTCAACATATATTTGAAGTCATTTTCTAAACAGTATTCCAACAAGACAAAGAGCCAACTACTACGCTAGTGCTCCCCAAAGCTAACATTGCAGTTTCAGCTGCAGTGCTGCTGTCAGGAGGCGTGTGTGTATGAGTGTGCGCTCATAGGAGACGCAGATAAGCAGTTGTGTTGTCAGGCTTCTTCTAACTCTTCACACAATCATAAAACCCACTCGTAGATGTTTCTCTTTCTCCATTATCTCTCTGTCTTAAATATATTTGTGCTTTTACAGCTTTGACTCATTCATTACCGTGTGGAAATATTTCTTACAATATTGTTACATTGAATTGAAATACTATGCATACAACATTTTCACCATTCTTCTCTCCCCATCCATTTGAAAGACTCGTCGTGCTTAGCTAATTGCTGACACAACCTTGAAACTATTGAATGGACCAATATTGGACATAATAACTGGAGGTTTCTAGATTTAGGATAACAAACTCTTCATCCATCCATCCATATTCAAAGCTGCTCATCCTTCAAGACGACATTGTCTACCAAACAAAAGCTTCAGGGTTTTCCGGATGCTTCAACACACACACTAATTGAATCTCAATACCGGGACCTGATCCACATTCATCTACACACTCAGCCATTTCTAGATACATAGACGATTGTATATGTTATACAGTATATGATTATTCGTCTCAGCAAATATTTGCATTTATCAAACCTCTATGAATTCACACACACACACACACAGAAAGAGATAATAGACTGAAGATGAATCACTTGCGCAGTGGAAATGTCATGTTTCCTTGAAAGAGGTCGGTGTTCTCAACAGGTTCCCTCAGAGGCTGCGGTTGCTCCAGGCTGAACATGAGCGTAGGCTCCCTGCTCATTGGATCAGAGTGGTAATAGTTACCACTCATGGGGGGTAACGGTAACCTGGCGGAGCACTCGGCATGACCCGATTCCCTTCTGGGGGGGTGCACGGTCTCCTGCGTAGGAGGCGGGGCGAGGCAGAACTCTTCTTTCTCCTGCTGCTGCAGGTGTGTGAGGATGGCTTTGGACAGGAGGTGGGGCTCGTCCTCCTGCTCATCTATAAGAAGAAGAGGATACGATCTATGTTCGGTTTCAGAACAAAGATCCACAGATAACTGGAGCAAAGCCATTAAAGCTCCTAGCAGATACTCTGACCTCCGCTCAGTTAAACACTGTGCAGCAAAATGTCTGCGTATCAACGAAGCCTAGACTAAAAACACAGAAGCCGCAACTTAATCAATAAATATGCAAATCCTGACTGTCGAACCCCGGGGAAGCGGATGAACTGAAAGCTGAAATCCCCTTCAAAGCAGTGTGTCTTTTGCCACCAGGTGTGCGTAAGATGCCGTCATACCATTTAGCAGAATGAGTCGGTAGCGGTTGCGACACTCCAGCGAGCGCTCCAGTATTTCCTGCAGAGTTCTGTAGAAGAGCAGGACCTGCTGTCGGCGCTCAGGCTCCCCGAAACCAGCGTTGCTCTCTTGGGACATGCTGTGCAGCGTCAGAAGAGGCGTTGCATACTCCACCACACACTTAGGGACCTGTTTACGCACACACACAGACACACACACACACACACACACACACACACATACACAGACATTACAGGGACAAATCGTCTGTAAAAGCTTGTGGGACTCCGTCACCAGAAAAGGGACATTGTCCATGTTTCCCATGTACACGGGACAGTTTCTGTGCTTTACAGAAGCAGACCGCCATGTTGGACCATCATTCATCTGTGGGGAAAAGTGCTTCTTTTATATTCAAATGTGTGTATGGTGTCATTTCATTTAATGGAAATAAATTCTAATCAATTCAGGAAATCAATCAATTCAAAGCTAGAAATATGTATTAATCCAGGGTCTGAGGACTCATTTCTGTTAAAACAGGCTCAAAGTGTTTTCTCATCTTTCATAAGTCACACACACTTTAAAGTATACAAAGTAGCAGTAGGCTACATGTAATTGATTATATATTTATATAAATATCATTGGAACATAAACACAGATGCATTAAGATGTATGAAACCGTATTAATGTTCCTAATAATATGTTTAGTTGACGCACATACTACTCTACTGTTTTACATAATTGAAAAATGAATGTCTGAAATGAAATGGGATCCGGTTTAAGAATAGCAGAAAAACATCAGGAAATGTGTTTACAAAGTCTGCTCTGACGAATCTATGGTAAGAAGTCGACGAACACACAAATAAACACCTCCGGCTCATGAATGGATTTGTATACAAATGATCATTTCATGAGTGAAGAATTCCCTTAAGGACATTGCTATTTCCAGAGTTCAAAGGGCAAACATACATCTTCACCCTATTCAGCTAATTCTGTGTGGTGACGGCCATAACACCATCGCTTTCATATAATTGGTGCCTATTTTTGGTCTAACTTGAAACTGGGCTTTCATCCACCCCAAACTTCCTTTCCTTCGACTACAGAGGCGGTTTTGAGTACAATCGCTCTTTGCCACATCAAACATATTGAATATGGAGCACATTGACGTGCCATCATGAAATATTGAAAAAAATAGACAGAAACAGCCCCTCGAGTCTGTCACTTCCCTGCGACTCTCTTTCTCTGTCGCATTTCTGCTGTGCAGTCTTTACAAATCCGATCAAAGGAGAAGATGTCGGCTCTAAGTCTAAGACGCTCGGTGGCCTTATTGACTGAATATTTCTGCAGTGCACCTGAGAGACATGTCTGAATATAATCAGATTAATGATTATCTTAAACCTTGTACATTCTTCAGTTTCAGATTTACGATCGATCATTTAAAATACTACAGGTACACAGATGTGAGATAGAAGGCTGAACTGTGGTATTTCCTCCCTTTTTGAATGGATAAAAAGCACACAGCTGTTATTTCATGTGGGAAAGCTCTTCAGTGTCATTCTGTAAGTGTTATTTTAGAGCCCCGCCTACCTTCCCATTCTCGTCCAATACTCTGTAGACGCTGTGCTTGTAGACCCGCCTCCTGACGCCCGCCACGTCTATATTGTTGTTGGGCAGGTTGCCGTGGAAATGGATGTTGTCGTCCTCGTCCTCCAGCTTGTGAGAAATGTTGGCGTTGAGAGGTATGAGGATGAGGAGCTTCCTGGAGCCACGACCCCAGGGGGCCTCGTGGGTGTCGTGGCAAAATGCTGTGATCGAGTCCTCCAAACCTGAACGGACACACACACACACACACACACACAGAAACACCCTAACACATTCATTGAGGTCTCTAGAATGCAGTGCAAGTTGTGTTATTGGAACCCCCCCAAAAATATAAAAATGTGGGAGAATACTATACATTTGATTTTTTAAGGGTTGTGTAGCGTAAGTGAGAGCTCAACTTGAAAGCGTGTGCAGTATATCAAATTAAATAGATCATTTAGTCCAACCGACGGCTTTACAAATGATGTTTTAGACGTTACTGACGTGGCAGCACCAGTCGCAGGTAGCCCAGGTAGAAGGACCAGGCCAGGCCGTGGGCCACGTTCATCTTTCTCCCCTCGCACAAGTCCGATACCTCCACCTCCGACGGACCCTGCACACCAACAGAAACATACAGAAATGTGTCACAACACCTCACTTCTGCTCAGGATCTGTTTTAGAAAAGGCCATCAGGGACCCCCTGCTGCCCGTTCCTATCCAGGACCTGTGTTGGGTTATAAAGGACTATGTGTAATCAGGATTACAAAAAAATATCAATAAATGCAAAAAACAATGTTTGAAAAAAAACAGTATTTATGGTTTGATTGTCAAAGATCACTTGAATACACCAATTTAAACAATGTTTCACTGTTTTGTTCTCAGGTTGTTGTTGACCTAACTGTTATTGAGTTATTGAGTTTTTATTTCCTTTAACTTACTTTGAAAATTCAGCAATGAAAATGTTAAGCAATAGTTTATCTTTTCGTTCCCACATGTTGAAGAACAAACACAGCATACCTGTAGTTTGAGTAATGGACTGTTTTCCTGAAGGCAATCTCACATGCAAACTGTAAATGCTAAATATGAATATAATTGAACAGGACAGAGAAAACTCGAGCTTGTAGTTTATACAATGATTCAGAGGGACGGTGAGCTTTGTTCAGAAATATACAGCAATTCTTTGAGGACAGTGTTGTGGTGGTTCTCGCTGATGAAGTTATATTTGGAGCCTATTTTTACTCTAGAAATGCCACAATAATTACAATCAACTGAGGCTTCGAGAAGTGTTCTTACTAAGGAACTGTTTTGTCTGCTATGGTGCTCTTATGCTAAAATGAGGCTATTTGTCACTTCCACCGTGATGCTCTGAGCTGTAATAATATACAAAAACTCTCAACTGAAGACCATTCTGATAAAACCAATGATTAAATTAATTATGATAAGTCAATTAATTGGGATGCTGAAAAGGGGAAGAGAGAATCACTCTCTTTTTTTCTAGTTGTCTGGAGCAGGAGGAGCTTTATGTTTTACTTTTACTTTCACTTTTACAGTTACAGTATACTGGTTTTACAATCTAGTCCCAAGCGATTAGGCAACTTGTTTTATGAGTTTAATCCGGCAAACAGGCCCGTGAACTTGTTTGCCTTGTTGTGTTTGCTGAGGGTAAAGTTAAGTAAGTAAGTAAGTAAGACAACGTAACTATAGTCTGATTTTTCAAATGCATTCTGGGCTGATTTAGGTGATGCTGATACATGTAATCCATTACTACCCAGCGCTGATGTCGGAGGGCCGTGTTGGCTGTGTGCTAGAAGCGTTTGGGACAAATCTGTGACACTGATTCCTTAAACTGAGTAATAAATCACCACTGTCACTGAAAGGATCTGGATCTCCCGGGAGGAGGTTCCCCTTTAAAAGCCTATTGAGAGACCAAAGACAGATGGACTATCATGTTTAAAGTGGTTGGCTGCTCAGTTGCAAACACGCAGTGCCTGAGTGATGCACTTAAAAACAGGTTTATCACCAGCTGCAACCGCACATACAACTGGATTGAGTAAAGTGTTTTGTGTCCACCACATTGTGTGTGTGTGTGTGTGTGTGTGTGTGTGTGTGTGTGTGTGGGCAGGTAGGACAGGTAGGACAGGTGTCTGATTAAAGGGACATGACTGCAGGGCTGCTAACCACACTTGCGTGTGGATAAATGAGATCTGAGACGATGTGTTGAACAAACGCTGGTCTCATTCCTCTTTTCTAAAACCATCCATCCATCCATCGTCAAACCGCTTATCCTGCACACAGGGTCGCGGGGGGGCTGGAGTCCATCCCAGCCAACTTCAGGCGATAGACAGGGTACACCCTGGATTGGTCGCCAGCCAATCGCAGGACTACACAGAGACACACAACCATTCACACTCACATTCACACATCTACGGGCAATTTAAAGTCCCCAATCAACCTGATCTTTTCTAAAACCTGTTTGATTATTATTATTATATTTTTAACACACATCAGAGACATGTTGCTCTGACAGTTAGTGAAGCAAAACCTGACACTGCGAAAAAATAGTTATTTTTAGTATTTTTTTAACATTGTCCTGAAAATGGTTTATAGTAGTTTCTTAAGTATGAACGAGGTCACTATGTCCTAGATGCAAACTCGTTCTAGTTACATTGTCCCAAAACTGCCATGTAGTCCTGAACTTTAAGAAGACATTAAGAGATGTCTAAATGCTCATTTGCAGGCCGTAACCATGTTGCGGCCTATTCATTGCAAATCACTTACAAAACAATTAACAAAACATGCTATTTTACAGCTTTCATTTGTCGTGGAAGCGAAAGACGCCACAAACTAACAAAGGCTTTGGTGTTTGAGTGTCAGGTGTCAGCCTCACCAGGACTCCCAGGCTTTTGAAAAGAGCGTAAAGCACTGAGGTCAGGATGAGGAGTTTCCAGCATTGGCCCTTGTTTGACAAGGGCTGTCCCGCCACGTAGAGCAGGAGGCCTGCCAGCGCCGCAGCCAGCAGAGTCCCCCCCCCAAGCCCACAGGCTGGCAGCACGCGACTCAGCAGCCTCTGGCCTCTGTACCTGGTGAAAGCAGGAGGAAACAGGTTGATCCCGTTACCTGTGTGGCAGTTTTGCAAATCGGTGGTGATACTATCTTTCCCATTACAGACTTTTGAAGCACAGCAGCTGCGTTCTCGTGATGTCGCAACATTATTTAAAGACCGGGGGTCACATGCCACACAAAAATTCATCTTTTCTAATGAAGTAATGCGTTTGTGTTCTCTAAGCCAAGGCTTCAGAAAGACTTTGATTGACAGATCCAATCACCTAAAAATGTTTGGGGGAAAAGTACGTGCCAATACAATTTTTATGATTAACGATGCACAAAAGGAGATTGTGAGAAGGCCAATTGACTCTAAATGGTTCTCAACCTGCCCGGGGCTTGTGCCTACCGGGACTAACATCGCTAACACCGCTAACGGCGGCAAATGGGATGACGCAGGGGTAACCGAAGGGCGGATGCTACGCTTTCGTGAGAGCAAAGCGTACCGTCGGCTTTCAGCTGAGGCTAACGTACTTCTGACAATACGCACTACTGATGAACCAAACCCTTTTCTCTCACCTCGTATTAGAATGGTTTAGCACCTCCTCTGCCATCAGGCAGATCCCGTGCAGCAGAGGGCCGAGTGTCAGGATGAGGATTACCATGGCGACCCATCCAAAGAACTTTTCAGGAGACAGGAACACGTTGCCTCCTATCGCCGTGGCCGTCAGCACCACAGCACACGCCTTGGGCAGAGTCCCTCTAGGACGAGGGATGAGAGCGTCCTGTTCTCGAAGGCGAAGCATCTTCGAAGGGGACAAGACCCCCCGTTTCAGAGTTGTGTTACATGTATCTAACTCTAGGTGCAAAGCGACACTTCAACCAGAACGCTGCTCATGGAAGATGAAACTGTTGATTGAGAGATATAGCTGCGTTGAATGTTTCCTGTAAACCGAATTTTGGACATTTAAGGTTTCAGGCAAAAAGAAATGACATAAAAAACACAATTTAGTCCTCACAAACTCATCATCTGCTGTATCTATAAGAACTATGCTTCTCACAGTGGCTCCATGTGAACAAATCAACCAAAACATGATTTTTTAAGGAAAGGTACTGAAACAAAGTCACAACACATTTCCCGTATTAATTCTTGATAGACCCGAAGGTGTTGCGTAAAGAAATCGATCTGAACAGAGGAAGGACAGTGTGAATGCCTGTATTTGTTCTCCTCTCTGTCTGTGTTGGTTTAATACTCATGTGAAGGATGTGCTTGATATTGATATTGATATTGATTGTAAAGCCTCTCCTCTTCTCTGGTTACATGATGGAGAGAAAGTCGTGTTGCGCCCTATTTGAAATCTGCTTCAATTGTGTGGGTCAATTCTGCACACAACATATATTTGAGGTATATTCGTCCTGAGATACAGGAGATCATTCCTGCCCAGTGCAATAACACTTTACAATAAATCATCCCTGGCTAAATAATGACAATAACAACCCTGTACTGCTGTGATGTTGCTGCTCTTCCTCTTCCTCTTCTCCTTTTCCAAAATGTCCCTCTTGAGGGATCAATAAAGTATCTATCTATCTATCTATCTATCTATCTATCTACAAATTATTATTATTGTCTCTTAAGGTTATACTTTTGTTTCAGTTTTAGTTTATTTAATTTAATTTAATTTAATAATTTAATATTTTTATCTTATTATATTGTATATAATGTGTATCTTTTTATTCTATTTTCTTCCCTGTACATGCTGCTGTGATACCAAAATTTCCCTCTTGAGGGATCAATAAAGTATCTATCTATCTATCTATCTATCTATCTATCTATCTATCTATCTTCTCAGTTTCTGGTGATTCTTTACCAAAAGCCCCTTGACGTAAATTTGTGACGTTGGGCTAGATCGGGGTGGGCAAACTTTTTGGCTCAGGGGCCACATTGACTTTAAAATTTGACAGAAGGGCCGGCGAGTATCAGATGGATAGAGAGTGTTTGTGTGAACCAATATAAATTATAAGTAAAAGGCAATAACTAAAAAGTAAACAGAACTTACATTTTTACATTACATTGCATTTCAGTAGGAAGAGTGTTGTTGGTCCCCCTTTTTTGCCGGTGCATGAAAGTTTGGTGTCAGCTTTGTTGTGGCAATTCTCAAGACAGATAACTGTGATCTGTGGCGTGATATGTTGGTTTTCATCACGCTGAACGTCTGCTCACACACGTAAGTAGAGCCAAACAACACCAGCATCCTCTGTGCCATCCTCCTCATGTTTGCAAACTTAGCTTGGCTTAGTGAAGCATTGAATTCAGCCAGGTTAAGGGGGTTGAACTTTGAGTTCCAATTCCAAGTCAACTTGGCTTTGAAGGCTCTCACATTTGTGTAAATCTCATGCACAACCTGATCTTTCCCTTGTAGCTTCATGTTCAGCTCATTCATGTGTGTCAGTATGTCCACAGCAAAAGCAAAATCACAAAGTCAATCTGCGTCGCTCAGCTCTGGAAAACCATCAGCTTTCCCGATTATTATATTATATATATGTGACATGAGCGCGCAGGGCAGCGCAGTCCCGTGGGTCCCGTTGCCGTCATCGTGCTTCGGCAAACACAAGTCGGGAACGGAGAAGTGTTACAGCGGTCTTTACTATAATTTATAATTCACAATACTCGGCGGGCCAGATCAACTTGACCATTAAGGTCACCTGACATGGCAGCACAAAAAAAACCTTATGCGAGACACATTTGGACTTTTGTAAAAACAGAAAATTTGCACAACGGACGAATCTTTTTTTTACATGCGTGTTCTCTTCCTATCGATAGTCACATCAAGATACACTACCAAGAAATAAAAAAACATTCATGGAAAATTCCACTATCACGAAGAAGAATTAAATGTATAACGAAAACTCACCACGGTGTGTACGGTCTGATACTAATGAGAGCTTTGTCCTTCTATCCTCCGTCTGCCACTCCTCTCTCTCCACCCTTTAAACATCATCCAACACTTTCACTTTCGATTAATGGCATATTGGCTGTTTCCCGGCATTCAAAGCAGGTAGAAAAAGGGAGTGGAAGGTAACCTTCATGAAAGAGGAAGTTTGCATGATGTAACTATCAATCCTTTTGTAATAAAATAAAAAATAATACTAGACGGACAGTTCAACTGGGCAATTCTTTCACAATATAGGGGTTGCAGATTATTTTTTCTGCTCTCTTTTGTTAAGCCATTTGGATATCAAAGTGAAAACCTTCAATATACAGGTGAAATTAGTTAACAAAAACCAATAGGATGGTTTATTGAACTGAGGTTAGGACTTGTGACTGGTGCACACCGATTGGTAAACTGTCATCACTGGCTATTTCCACATATGTCCATTACTTCTATCTAGATGGCGCATAGCTTCACATTTCAAAAGTTCATCCCTTTAATTCTTTAGTGAGCTGTTTCAACTACCATGAACTCTTGTTAACTACGTTAATGTCTATTTGGATGAACTGCTACACATGCTACACATGCCTTTCATATAACAGCTGACTACACAATGACAGTTTCTCATTTTTCACTTAATTAACTCCCTCCGTTAGTTCCTCATGTTCCGTTTTGCAGCTACAGAGGTCATGTCCTCAGGTCCCTGGGAATGTGAGACTGTGTCCTTGGTAACCTTCTTGCCGGTTAAAACAAGACATGAAGTGGCGCTTATATTATTCTACGTATATTAATTGACTGTTTTTCACTGGTTATTTTAACATTTCTAGACTTTATTGTATGAAAAATTGAACGTAAATAAAATGTAGAGATTTACTTACACCAAAACAAAAACCTGTCTTAAAGGAAGATTACAAAATAAAATGTCCCTTACTGATAGGGTTTGGAGCCCCCATTGTCATCTCTCATGTCATTCATTTCTGCAAGAACATCTAGTTTATCAAGATATACTAAATATCAACTAGTTTTGATGAAGCATTTCTCGTCATGAGGCAGTTGTTGTGCGTTGTCATTTGTAGCCATGGAGCAAAGGAGTGACGAAATAAAGGCTCAGTATGCATACCAAAGGTTCATGCATATTTTATTCAAGAGTAAAAAAGTGGTTCGTCCCGTGGGGCATGCTTACAGTGTTAGTGATTGGGGGATCAGAACAGAGAGAGAGAGAGAGAGGAACGCCTGAAGAGAGAAAGAAGGTTTGAACCGTGGCACATTGTTTATGGCGCAGGGGGGGTTCACTTCTCCCAAAGAAGCACAACAAGATCAACCGAGGAGCAACGCAACATGAAGAGCAACCAGCAGAGAGAGAGAGAGACAGAGAGGGCTGGAATATAAGAATAATGTCGATAATAAATAGAATCATACTAATCATAGAATCATAAGTATCATCAAATAACAAAAGGAATCACCAAGAATTATGATCAGAGAGAGTACACTTTTTTATCCTTTAAATTTGGACGGCAACACATCGGCTTTTCTGTTAAAACGCGTCCCGCTGCTTTTTTGTTTTAAACAGCGCAAGTTTTAACCATGCAATCATGCGTTTAGCTGCCCGAATGCCTGTGCCTCTGTAAATAGTGTGGTCATTCATCGATGCCAGTTTAATAATCGTTATTCATATTTATCGTTGAAAAACACTCCTGTACACCGACGAAGAAGAGAGGAGAGAACGTGGACTTGACACTTTGAATAGAAGCGTACCGTCACCTGTACAGCGTCAAAAGAAAGCAGATACACAGGCTGTGAAAAAGAAAACATGACAAAACAAGGAAATATAACACAAAATGAATACAAAAAATAAGTTAAATTAACATTATGTACAAAATCATTTATTCATTATTCCTCAGTTCATTTATATTAGCCAGAAAAAACAAAAACAAATCAAATCCTACCATAGTGAAACACAGAGCACGGATATAATCTTCACATTATTATCAAAGAACTTAACTCATGCATGCACTGATGCGTTAATATAAATGCTTTACAAGGACCTTTTCCTTTTCCGACTTCTTGTACCCGTCATGTCTGTTTCCCTTGTGAAATATCACCCGTCACTGCTGTGAGTCAGAAGACAGCAACACGGAAAGAAAGGAGGATATAGAAAGAGAATGAATGGAGTATGACTTCACATTTCAACCCCCCCCCACACACACACCCCCCACCTCCGCCTCCTTCTCATACAGAAAGCATCGTACGTCCGCTATCCTGCATCTTGTGACCATACGCAGCACATGTGCATTAAAACCTCTCTATGTAACCTATGTACACGCAACAGGTCGGGACCACACGCTTCAGATCACACCCAGGCCCCGTTTCAAGCCTGGGCCTGGGGCCGGAGTGGAGGGTTGGGGGTGGGGGGGGCTCCACTTGTCTTGTAGAGGATGTGTACAGTGTAATGCTACAGAAGCAAACGGGAATGACCTCCTGAGAAGAAGAGGGCTCAGATCCGACTGCGGCTGAGATTGTCTTCAAACGTCAGCACACCGCACATAACGATCAAACAAAGGAATCTCACCTGTGTTTGCAAACAAAAAACGAGAACAGCATTTACTTGTTAAAGCAAACACGCAGGCATATCTGCAACTCTAGGGAAGGGAGAGAGGCCATCCTCTCCCCCATCCGCCTGGCAAACACTCGGCCCCTCCCGGCACAACGCACCCAACCTACGCAGGCCCGGCACGCCGACACCGCCGACCCGCTGTCGACCCGCTGTCGACCCCCAACGCGGAGCGGCGGATCCTCCTGCTTCGTATGGGCGAGTTTTCGTAGCGTCTTTCCTGTTTGTTGTGCAGGTACGTGGGAGTTGTAGTTCTTTAAATAGGGCCGAACAGTCCGGTGTAGGGACTCTGCCTTTACATACAGCGCCATATGGGGAGGGGGAGTTGGGGGGGGTAATCGTGTGTGCGATGTTGTCCGGAGCCTATTCAGTGAATGCGATACTGTGTTTGTATCTTTGTGTGTGTGTGTGTGTGTGTGTGTGTGTTCGTGGTGTATTTTTGTCGTGTATGTATGCCTGTGTAGGGGTGTCTATAGCTGTTGAAACTGCAGGTGTGTGTCTGGGCATGTGGGAGTCGTGGACGTCCATCACTGTATATTGCTGTTGCTGTCGGTCCCGTTGGGCTCTCCCATGTTCATGCGGCCCATCGACAGGCCCACGCTGTTGACGCCGACGCGGCGCGGAGGCATCCTCTCGTTGATCCGATCCAGGCCTTTGGCCTCCTCGAAACTGCTGATCCGATGCTGCGGGGAGAAGCCTCGGATGGCTGCGAAAGACAAGCGCATCCACACGCAGACACACGCAAACACACACACCAACATGCGCGTTAATATTTAACTAGACATTAAGTAGAATCTTGTGTAGCCGAGACCCGCGGGAGCTCTGGGTGGATTCGAACGGATTGAAGAGTTGAAAGCATGATTATTATTCATTTATGAAACGTGAGTGTGCACACGTTTCTAACACGTCATGTCTTCAGTTTTACTTCAGCTTCCAAACGTTTTCCACAGCAGGAAGGAGGCTTCAGTAGTTTGAACCCTGAGTGAGCTTTGGTTTGGATGAACAACGTACACACAACAGCACATGTCCATCTAATGTCTTGAGTACTGAGCTGGGGCTAGTTTGACCTCGTGGCTCACAGGGAAGTTGATAGTCAGTGTGACCCGGCAACTGATCCTGGATCAGCCGGATCGCTGGCTACTGAAGACCATCGAAAATCCCCCATGTGAAGAGTTTTCGACAGACGTTTGTTTTGAGGGTTAACTCTTTCTATTTTAAACCTATACGTAGAGTTAAAAGCTAAAGACAATAGTCAGGTGACCGGTTCACGTCAGTTTGATTCGTTGGAACTTTACCTTTGGTTTGATTCAATTTCAGCGAATACGTTGTTTGATGACGTCATCAAGGTTAGCTCAGCCAACCTTTAAGACTGTAAATAGGGGGACACAGCTGAGAACGCCGGCTTTTTACATTTTTTTGTGTATTTTTGACTCTTTCTGCAGTGCATTACTGTAATGCACTGCTAACGTATACTGGTCTGCCTTTTAGCTTATTACGATTTCACTTACTGTTACTGAACTGTTAATTTATATTGCACACATTTAAGTTAAGTTTTTCTTTTACAACCTGCTCAGTTTTCCTCCTTACCTCATTTCTGCCTTATCCTTACCTCATTTTTAATTTTATTTCATGTACATTTATGTAAATATTGTATTTTTATTTTTATTTTAAAATTGGTCGGCTTTCCAGAAAGGCAAGCACAATAATTTCAATACACAGGGCGTGAGTAACTGACAATAAAAATCTTTGAATCTTTGAATCTTGAAACATCTAGCCTGCCCTAAAGTCTGCCTACAAGAACCCTGGAAATTATGTTTTACAAAGTTACATACTGGAACTCAGACTTTACATCTTTACATTTCTGCGAAAATATCAAACAAACAACCTTAAAAATGTTGAACTATGTCCTTTTTGGAGCTGGACCAAACAAGACATTGAAACTTGGATATGTCCCACTCAGTTAGACTATTTGACACTGTTGTAATCATCCTGTTTTGAGTCCTCTTCTTCATCAAGGGCAATAGCTACGGTGCTCCTTTAAACTAGAAAAATAACAACTACAGTTACTCTTTATAATGGTCAAAGCCATAACAGAAGCTCTTGTACTGATAAGACCACCGTCACTTTAAACCGTCGTATTACCTTTGCACACACGCAGCGACTCACACTGTGTTACACAGCAGAGATGCACGACAGTTATTTGCTTAAACAGATTATGGGCAAAAAAAACACAGAGGACTACAGTTAACAGAAACACACTGAACACAAACACCATGTTCACAATCGGTTCCGTAGCACAGAAGAACCTGTCAGACCTGTTCTGGCTTAAATTACAAGAATCACCGCCGGATCTCAGAACATCATCACGTTACTCCTTGGACGCCGACATCATTAGATGAAGAAGTCAGTGGGAGTTTCACCACCAATAAAGTCTGAAGGATTGGTTCATGAAATGAATAGAAATAATCTCACAGGTCACTCTGGTTCTGCGTGCAGGGAAACACATCAGTTTATCTACACTACAAAAAACACTACAAAATATAGAGAACACACAGTGTCCCTGCCCACCTGCACAAAACCCTCCCCCATCCACAGGTCTACTCCTCTTCGGTGTGTAAAGAAAAAGCAGGGTGAGGTTTGTCAAAGTGTGCGTGGGATGTACATAAATATCTGCAGAGACGGTGTGTGTGTGTCTCTTGTGTTGTGTGTGTGTGTGTGTCTTGTGGTGGCTTTGAGGCTTTGTTGTGAGTGCTGATGGGGTTAGAAGAGCTCAGTGCATCGTGGGTAAGAAAGATCTATGAGCATATGAACATGGGTGGCCAAAAGCGCAGCCATGCTGCACACACACACACACACACACACACATACAAACGCGCACGCACACACAGACACACACAGTGAAATGAGAGTTTACCTTCAGCGTCCTTAACTGTCTCGATGGCTTCAATGGCCTCAATGGTAGCTGAGGAATGGGCAAAGAGAGAAGAAGAAGAGAAGGACAGAGGAGGAGAGAGGATGATGTACAGAGGAAGAAGACGAGAGGAAGTGAAGGCTGAAACATGCGTCGGTGCAGCCGCGCATACGTCTGAATGAGAGGGTGATCGGGGCTCGGGGGGGAGCCTTCAGGATCCCAGTTAAATGCTGTCAAAAAACACCTGCCCCTCGGGTCAAGAACTTGAAGAAACAATTGAATCCCAAAAGAAGGCAAATATAAGCAGATATACATATCAATTTCTGTCTCACAGACCCGACCAGCAGGCCGTTAGTATCTTCAGTGAGCCGGAGGGACGAGGAGAAGAACAGCAGAGCGGACGGTCCACAGGAGATATTCAAACTGTGTCTGTGTGTTATATTTCTGTTTTGGAAAATCTATCCAGGCTTGTGTTGTGTGTTTTTGTGTGATCGCCTTGTTGAGTGTGAAACACTTACCGCTCTGTAAGGTCTGCTTGCCCCCAGACAGCACTCCGCTGGGCAGCATGCCCGTAGGGGTCAAACCCTTAAGGGTCAGCACGTTCTCACTCTCCTCCCTGAGAGACAGACGGAGACAGTGTTCATGTGTGTGTGTGTGTGTGTGTGTGTGTGTGTGTGTGTGTGTGTGTGGATGAAAAGAAATGCAAAGAATTATCCACTAAAACATGGTGAAGGTGACAATCTGTTGACTTCTGATTCAATTCTGCAAAGGTTGAGGGGAACGTTTATGGCATGTTGCACACACACACACACACACACACACACACACACACACACACACAGATACAAACAGAACTCAACCCACCGTAGAACAGAGAACATTTTAGCCATCTTCCCTATGGCACGAATCTTGTTCTTGATCACCTCCTTCCTGGCTGCAGCTGCACTGGCTGTAAAAGCGTCGTACACAAACTCATTTATGTGATTTCTTGTCATTATCATTATCATATTCACACAGTTTGAATCAATTTTGCAGTGTAAAGCGTTTCTTACCGTCGAAGATCTCCTCTCCGTCGTTCACGAGTTCGTCGTCGGAGCAGATACTCAAGACATTGACCAGCATTTCAGTCACTGCCGACACACAAAGTCAGAGACGTGTTGAAGCGCCTCGGTTTGCTCTAAGCTGGGGACGCTCGGGGACGCTCGGGGACACTTGGGGACGCATGTAATTTTCTGTCATCTCTCTGCTGCTGCTTTCCAATTAAGCCAAATGCCTCAAATCGGACTAAATGCTGGTTACCCACGAGTCCCTAATCCTGTAAGTAGGCTTTGTACACCTTTTTAAGCCCATCTAATGGCAATTTTTGGAGAATATTCTGAAGTGGTACAAGAACTGTGTACTATAAAGTACATTAAAGGGATCTTCCTTTCAAACTGAGAAACATATCATCCCTTGTGCTGTTTCCCCTCCTGCTGTGCTCCAGCAGGGACTTGGACACGACGTTGTGTGTGATTTCATCACTGCACACTTAGTGTCAAAGCTCAAGCAAAGATAAATCAGTGCCTGACTTCTGCAGCGCGGACAAAGACGGCGAGAGGATCCAAGACCATTTACCATTTTTGTACCAATAAAACAGTTGACGGAAATATTTCTTTCATATATTGTGCAGTGTTATAATGAAGATGATTTAGTTTTGATAAACTCTTCCCACATGTGTTAACTGATCCAAGACAGCTGCTATTTCACTCGACATGAGATGCGCCTCGAAATGAAAAGTCCCTCAAATGCCAAATTGCTCAGATTTAAATTTAGCCCTAAAAAAGGTGCGTTTTGATCAGCATTTCAACTCGTCTGAGACGGGTGCATTTCATCAGTACAGCATCACTGGAGACAAGTTGTCCTTATGACACGTTGATTGAAATGCACTGTGAGGAAGGCTCTAAATAAAAGATGTGTGTGTGTGTTTGCGTCTGATACCCTTTTCTCCCACGAAAGGAAGCGACCAAGTGAAGACGTCCATGAAGTTGGGCAGCCAGTAGGGGTGAGGAGAGCAGTTGAACTGACGGATGTTCATCACATTGTTCTCATACTTCAGCACCGCCGCTGGACACACACACACACACACACACACACACAAGATTAAAGCCTTTGCCTCTTTGGTCAGATGGCACACAATAATGTTCCCTAAATATCACGTTAAACATACAGTTGCTACTTGGAGGAATCATTTTACTGTTGAGTGTAAAACAAAGTGGCAACGCAGTGGCTTTCTGTGTGTGTGTGTGTTTCTGTGTGTGTGTACTGTGCGCTGTTTATGTGTCACACCTTTGTTGTTGTAGACATCCAGGTAGTTTGGAGCAGAGAAGATTGTGATGAGGGAGGGAAAACCTGTAGTCTGACTCTTCCTGTACATACGATACCTGAGGACAGAGAGACAAACAACACCCACGTTACAACAAAATAAAAATAAAACACATTGTGGATGAAAACTGAGGAAGGTTTCAAAGGTATTTAAAGGCAGACAGAGACTGGTCGGTGGCGAGAGAGATGAAAAGACGGTGCGAGCAAAAGGGCCTGTAAGCCGGGTACCGACGGTGTTTGATTAGAGCACAAAGCTACATTTTCAATTAGGCCCAGATCCAGTGACTTAGTGGCAATAAAAAACAAGTCTGGGTGCAATTAGTCTCAAGCATCCAAACAGACGACCAATTATACATGAAAACACATATTTTATATGTTCCCACTGACAAAGCAGCCTCTGCCAGCAGGGTCCCTTGATGATGGACTAATTACAAAACTCATCAGTAATCAAGAATTTGGGGTATTTATCACAAACAAATGTGTTTGTGCAGCAGAGTTAGTTGGCTGCTCTCCTATCCGAGTGCTGTTGTCTGTTGTCGTGGAGGGCCGGTGTAGGTGTGTCGAGGAGGCCGCTCTGTGCAGTAGAGCGCGATGCTGCGTGTTATCGGCGAACAAGGCCGGTTCGTGGTTTGGTCTTAACTGGCAGCCGTGCACTGCGTCCGACCGCGAGACGATCAAATGCAGGCAAAGTCATTTTCAAAGTAAGTTTCCTTTGGGATTGAATTGTAGCAAAGGATCAAAATCGTTGTGGCGCAGGGGTTAGAGAAGGTGTGCTGGGAAGCACAAGGTTGGTAGTTCGATTCCAGGCTGCCCCATGTTCCATGTCGAAGTGTCCCTGAGCAAGACACCTAACCCCGAATTGCTCCCTGGGCAAAATGTGAAAAAAAAAAGCCATGGGTTTAAAAGTGTAATGTAAGTCGCTTTGGATAAAAGCGTCTGCTAAATGACCTGTAATGTAATAAAGTTGTTTTCTTCAGATTGCATACTGATTGTTGAGAGTCTACTTTATTTTTTTTTTGTCACTTTTTCAGTGAGAATGTGAACCTGCTTTGGAATAATTCCAACTCTATATTGTTTCAACTCTCAAAGTCACTTATCTTGATTGTGACATGTTTTAAAAAAAAACATACACTATCTATCCGCTGCATCACACGCTATTTAGAAGTATAAACTTCTAAAATTGTAGTTTTTTTTGTAGAATTGCCAAGAAGTGCCAAGTTGCACAGCAGAGGAACAACTGCTGATGGAACAGCACAAACCACAGCGCCAGCACAAGTCGTAATGCAGCAATTAAGGTAGAAATATTATATTTAAAGATTTCCCCGAAGATACAATTGTATTTTTTAGACCAGTGGTGGGAAACCTTAATGTCTCTTTGCCAAACCATTCTGTTTTCAAGAGATAAGTTAGTTAACTGACTGTTGTTCAGGCCGCCGGTGCTCCGTGTCAGACAATCTCTAACAATGCTAATAGCACAGTTTAAGTTTGTCAGAGGGAAAATTGTGGAACCTCTTTCCCAGTAACGTTCCAGTTCCCTGACAAAGGAAAATAGCAGCCTGGAACATGAAGTGTCTGCGAAAGCCATTAAATTAAATGGAGCTCTCTTTTAAGCCGAGAGAAAGGACTGAGCCGCGACAGACAGTCAGCTTACCCGGCGTCCTGTGCTTCATGTGCTCTGATGATTGACAGCAGATTGTTGGTCTGCAGGAACTCGCACACTGCTGGGTAACTGGGGAAGGGAAGAGAGACACGGGGAGAGAAAGAGTCAATGCAAGTAAAGTGAAGCATTAAAGGGGGGGGGAATACCAGTGATGAAACACGCACAAAGATGTCCCAAGTCATTGTATTAAGTGGAAGTATTAAAGACTGTGACACGAGTGGGATTCTTGCTTTCTGGAGCCGTGTCTAACTGCGGCCAGCAGGGGGCAACAGCTGGCAGCAGGCAGGTCTGAGCAGGCCTCTCGGCCTCCTCGGTGGTGAGGGGGCTGAGCATTCACTAGTTGGGCAATTGATGCTGTGTTTGCTAAACATAGAAAACCACTGTGTCCTCATCAGACAGCGTGTCATAAGGCCGAGTGCAACACAGTCCCACACGTGAGGAGAGGAGCCACGACCGCCGACTTCAGCCCCTCGTTGTTGAAGGCCTCCATTTTTCACTTCATTTCCATCTTTCATCCCCTATCCCACCAACACTGCCATCGCCCTCCTCCCATGCTGCTCTCCTCCTTTCTCTCACTGTATCTGAATATCAAGCCGTATCTGGCAGGAGTAACCAGTCGTCATAGCAACAGAACCGTGCAGTCTCCCTGGGGATTGTGGGATGTGATTTCATGCTGAAACGGAAGTGTACATGTGTTTGTGTGTTTAAGTGCTGTGATGATGTGTTTTATCGAACATTGAATGTGTGTGTGTGTAAACTGGGACATTTTTGGTCACTGGGATCTGGTTTGAATCCAAGTGACTGTTATTGGATCTTGGATGTGGTGTAAGCGAGCAGAAAGCATCTCGCTCGCTCTTCTCTCATTATAAACATCCAAGACAAATAGACGGAAGTCCTCCAAACTTATTGGATTCCAGAATCGTAGAAGCAAATCACAGCTCGCTGACGCTGGACAAACACGTGGCGCCCAGTTCATTGAAACACATCGAACAAGCGGGCAGTAACACATTTGGGGATCAGTCTTATTTTCTGTCTACAAATGCATGCTGCTAATATCACAGAGTGTTGCTCCTATTGTGTGTTCTTTTTGTCCTGAGTATTGCATTCATTCCGGTTTGCTTGGATATCGGGTTCATATCTCTGAGCTTCATGAGCCCGGGATCAACGCTACTGCTCTATATTCACTCCCACTCAAGTTGATTTTCTTGTTGAATAAGTCCACTTTTGTAATATCGGTGTTTGATTGTTTCTTGTGAGAAGTCATTTGACCTGTACCTGTAAAAATAGGAGCAGCCTCTGACTGTGTTGTGGCCAAAGTACTCTTGGGTCTTCTCGTTGCCAAAGTCTTCCAGAGGGTCGGCCCACAGCAGGTCGCACATGGGCCCAAACGCTGGGGGCTCCTTGAACCGGTCCAACTAGGACACGCAAAGAACACACACAGAGACACAGAAAAAGATAAGCTTACAGAAACAGAGATTCTAAAAACATGCATAACACAAACGATCACAAAGAAACATATAATATATCTGACATCACACACACATACACACACATATAATATATCTGACATCACACACACACACACACACACACACACACACACACACGCACACACACACACACACACACACACACAAGCACCAGCACATATAGGATAAATCAGAGGGAAAATAGAAGCAAACACACAAACACACACTGTCAGAGCAGAGCATCTCCATGGCAACCCTCACCACACGGGAGGGAGAACATGTCACACCAGCAGATTCACCATGGAAACGATGCCATTAGATGATTAAGTGTTGTCTCCGTGTTCATGTGTGTGCCTTTTTGTGCTTAATTACTGTTGTAGATAGAGCATGTGCGGTTCACTATATTTACTACTGAAGGCCCTCTGCATTGACAGTGCATGTGGGAATAAGGCATGAATAAGGGTTGGTGTGTCTTTCTGTCTGAACTCACAGGTGTGTCTGAGTGCTGAATTGTGCATAGGTCAATTAGAAGATCGATAAAGGTTGCTGGTGTCCGTGAAGCAGTAAATGCAGGCATAGTGCAATTAAGAAAAAGGAATTCCAAGCCGTCTGGCAGGCAGTCTAAAGGTTGTAATGTCTTCTTTTTATGCCTAACTTAACAAAACTGACTGCAAAAGAAAAAACAAATACACTTAAAAATGACATCTTCAAGGAATAAAATGGGGAATGTGTATCTCCACGAATCTGTTCTTTAAGCTATTGTGCTCGTTTTAACAGGATAAATTTTACTTTGATTATTTACAGTCCACAGACCATCTAAATTAAATGAATTTGTTTGGTAGGTGTCTGTCTGCCTTTACACATGTAGGCTATTGTTGCACAGGTGTTCCGGTGTGGGGGCTTTTGTTGTGAAGGGGGAGATGGAAGGAGAGGAAGTTGAGGTGGTGTTCAACTGGGGGCGTTGTGAAAACGTGATAAAAATAAAGTTGCGGCCGATTTGGCACAGAACTGGAGCTCCGGGTTGTTTTTTTTGTTATCGACACGAAGTATAGGCGCACCCGAACCACTCGGCTACATTGGTGGCTGCGGTGGGATTCTTTCCTGCTAAAAAAACCACAAGTATTTAGCTTTGTGTTGAAATGACTGTTCTGGGAATTGACAGAGCGGTTTCCTCCAGCTCATTTATAGGTTTATAGGGACGTGTTTGTTTATTCACTGCACGTGTTTGTGCTTCTTTTTGTACCTTCTTGATGTCGTCCAGCGTGTGGATCTCTGGCGAAAGCCCCCCGTGCACGCACAGGAACTGCTGGTTCATCAGGGCTGCCAGGGGCAAGCAATCAAACGCCTCCATGCAGGAGTCATACACCTGCTCCGAGTACTTGATCTTACCTGGAGGTTTTTGGAGGAGTGGAGAGATATTTCAAAGCTTGAGACAAAGAAGGGCTTTAATTATTGCGTCTCGACAGCCACCATCCTGGCTGACGTGCATTTGTTGCTCAGTGTGACTGTTGTATACCGCACACAAACACACTGCAATAGGGAACACAGGGGAAAAACAATCATGGAGCTTCTACATCTTTGCATGTAAATAATGTCGAAGCCTAAAGGCGGACGTGCGCGCTTTAAAAAGATAACTCCGTTCAATTGTGTGTAAAAGCAGTAACATGTAGGACTTTCTCATTGCATCTCATTAATTTATAGAGACATCTCTTCTCTGGCGCTCCCATATAAAACAATTCTCTCCTCACCGACGCTAAAAAAATCATGCTACCTCCCAGGGAAGAAATGTACATGTCACTGTGTGGTTTTTTTCCTGTCTTATTTTGTAGTTTCTGCTTCTTGTCTCCCTGGGTAACTTCACTTCCTGCCTTGTCCTGTCTTCCCCTGTGATTGTCTGATTGTTTCCACCTGTGTCCAATCACCTGCACCTCCCTAGTGTATTTAAGCCGTGTGTGTCTCTTGTGTCACTTGTCGCGTCATTGTCTATCGTCCTGGATGTTCCTCGTTCCTGTCTGCCTTTTTTCCTCTGGTTCCTGTGTGCGTTTTTGCCCCTTGGCCTTTTGCTTTGAACATTTTGACTATTAAAGTCTTTTTGGTTTAAAGTCTGCATTTTGAGTCCTGCCTTCCCACGCATCCCTGACAGTACATGGGAGAAAGCACGCTACATGTTGCAGGACATATTATTACAGGCAAAAAAATTTTGTTCATTGGAACAGAAAGACTCTGTTCCGATGAACAAAATCTGACCCAAATAAGCGTGAAGCAGCGTAGAGGAGTCACCGCAAGGCTGATTCTTTTTACTCAACAAACTCCTTTTGATTTGGGAGGAATATCAATAAAGACATCCGATACGCAGCATCTTTAAAGTACATTTCACACACGGGCGTAACAATACATCTGACACAAAATTATTCACAGGATTAAAATAGCTCAAACGATATCGGAGGAGAGCGACAGAAGTGAAAGAGTGCAAGAGTGAAAAGGAGAATGATAATTTCCCAAAGAGAAGGAGGGAGATTGATGGGGGGAGACAGGAGAAAGAGGAGAGGATAAGAGCGGTGAGAGGAAGGAGAGGAAGGAGAAGAAGTACGGAAAGGAAGGGAGATGGCAAGGCAGGAGGAAAGAGAAATGAGAGGGAAAAAAATAAGGGCATGAGGACGACGTGTACACAAATCAAAGCCTGTGTTGCAAACTACCTGAGTACAGCAGTCCACATTTGTGTGTGTGTGTGTGTGTGTGTGTGTCTATGTGTGTTTGAACGACAGATAGTAGTGTGTTTGTCAACCGTTCTATCTGCCTTGTGTAAAGCAAGAGCTCATTATTGCTAGTTCACCAGTTTTTGGCTTCTTCCACACACACGGACACTTAAACATTTATGAAGACGCTCTTGCACACGCATTCAGTCACAGTACATTCTCTTGCACACACACACACACACACGCGTAGACACAGCAGATGGTAATTGAGGGCGACCACTATTCGCCACGAGCACCGGGGGAAATCAGCCTCCTTGTCCCTTGGCCAATCAGACACAGAAGAGCAAGTCCCTGAGTCAATCATTAAGGGCCAAATTAATTTGCTGCTAATCAGCCACTCTCGGACAAGAAGGGAAGACAGTCGGAGGGATAGAGTGAGAGATGGTGCAAGGGAGGAAAAGAAGGAATAAAAGCTAAGGAGGGTGAGAAGGAGCGGAGGAGGGACGCGACAGAAAACAATCTGCAACAAATGTCTGTTTTTTCAACCCCGTCCCAGAGCGGCGCTAATTGTCTAAAAGTCTGGCTTAGCAACTGTGACTAGGCGTGTTGAGGAGGAATGCACGCGGCTTTGGTGAAACGTTCAAAAAGGCAAGAGCAAAAGTGTGAGGGAGGGGCCAGACTATTGTTACTTTACACTTAGTTGTACTGTGGAGATTTTATTAGCTGACTGAGTTTTGCGTAGTTGGATGTTACAATAGAAGAAGCCCTGTTTACAACAGCGCATCCACTCCGCAGTCTTTCCCCATTTTGAGGAAGCCTGTCCTCCTGGACAGCGGAACTCAGAACACTACACCTGCAGAAGGACCAGGCATTTAGGAGTGGGGACAAAGACTTGTACACAGAGTCAAAATACAAGTTTAGCAAGGCGGTGAGAGATGCTAAACGACTGTACTCTGAGAAACTCCAACAACAGTTCTCAGCAAGTGACTCTGCTTCGGTTTGGAGAGGCCTCAAACACCTCACCAAACAAGCCAAACCCCCCCCCCCACTCCATGAATGACCTCCGCCTGGCAGACGAGCTGAACAAGTTCTACTGCAGATTTGAAAGACAATGTCCTGATCCCATCCCCCACAGCTCCACCAACCTGCCCCAGTCCCCCTCCCCTCCCTCCCCCAGCCCATCAGGGGCTCACGCCTCTTCATCTGTATCACCTCCCCCACCAGCAACGACCCTCTCTATTCTGGAGAGAGACGTTAACCGGCTCTTTAAAAGACAAAATCCCTGTAAGGCAGCCGGCCCGGACTCCGTTTCCCCTCCCACCCTGAAGCATTGTGCTGACCAGCTGTCTCCGGTGTTCACTGACATCTTCAACACCTCCCTGGAGACATGCCACGTACCAGCCTGCTTCAAGGCCTCCACCATCATCCCTGTTCCCAAGAAGCCCAGGATCACAGGACTCAATGACTACAGGCCCGTCGCCCTGACCTCTGTAGTCATGAAGTCTTTTGAACGGCTAGTCCTGACCCACCTGAAGTCCCTCACCGACCCCCTCCTGGACCCCCTGCAGTTCGCCTACAGAGCCAACAGGTCTGTGGACGATGCTGTCAACATGGCCCTCCACTACATCCTCCAGCATCTGGACGCCCCAGGAATCTACGCCAGGATCCTGTTTGTGGACTTCAGCTCTGCTTTCAACACCATCATCCCGTCTCTGCTGCAGGACAAACTCTCCCAGCTGCACGTGCCCGACTCCACCTGCAAGTGGATCACAGAATTCCTGTCTGACAGGAAGCAGCACGTGAAGCTGGGGAAACATGTCTCAGCCTCTCGGACCATCAGCACCAGTTCCCCCCAAGGCTGCGTTCTTTCCCCTCTGCTCTTCTCCCTGTACACCAACAGCTGCACCTCCAGCCACCAGTCCGTCAAGCTCCTGAAGTTTGCAGATGACACCACCCTCATTGGACTGATCTCTGGTGGGGACGAGTCCACCTACAGGTGGGAGTCTGACCATCTGGTGTCGTGGTGCAGCCAGAACAACCTGGAGCTCAACGCTCTAAAGACAGTGGAGATGGTTGTGGATTCAGGAGGAACAGAGCCCC